TGTGTGGCTGAGCAGATGCCCACAGGAAGCCCGCAAGCCAGGACCTGAGCACAACACCACTCTTGAAACTTGTGATAACCTGCAACTGGTACTCAGATGCATACCAACAGGAGAGGCAGTATGAACCTTGGACCAGCACCTCCTTGCTCTATGGGAAGCAGTGAGAGTGAAAAGAGGGGAGAGGGAGATGGAGGAGGGAATCAATAGGGGGCGATCTCCTCTGTAACTAATTGTAGTTCTCTGCTAAGATCCTTAAACGCTATCTAAGCTTTATTTTCTGCTTTACAGCCCCAACCGTTGTTAATGAGCGTTTATCAAAGCTACTTTGCTTTCTGCGTTGCTGCATTAGCTGTCTTGGAGCTCATTAATGTAGATGAGTAATCTCCATGGCTCTTCCTAAATTTCCTTTCTTTGCTTTTTGGTGATGCCTCAGTTCATCAGCCTGATTTATCAGCTGCAGGAACCCACGGAAGATGGCTTCATGGGCATAAAATCTCTCAGATTGACTTGTTTCCTTGTGGAGTATTGCGCTAATCATTTAAATCCTGGAACTCTGTATGCACATGGTGCATTTTTATGTGTGTGTACAGTGGTACCTCGCGTTAAGTACTTAATTTGTTCCGGAGGTACGTTCTTAACCTGAAACTGTTCTTAACCTGAAGCACCACTTTAGCTAATGGGGCCTCCTGCTGCCGCTGCGCCGCCGGAGCACGATTTCTGTTCTTATCCTGAAGCAAAGTTTTTAACCTGAGGCACTATTTCTGGGTTAGCGGAGTCTTTAACCTAAAGCGTATGTAACCTGAAGCGTATGTAACACGAGGTACCACTGTATTCTCTCTCTCTCTCTCTCTCTGATTGCCATGACAGGAGGCATCATCTTGATGGTTTCAGTGTGTGTGTATACACCCACAAGTGTGTGCATGCAGGAGCAAGGCACTTTTGGGTGCCATTAAATGTAGCAGAATAGAATTGGGAGAGACATGATCTATTGAGCACAATCCACCAGGAAGTTCTCTGTGCAAAGCTCCCTGTAATCGGCAGGAGCAGCAGAAGAGCTCAGTGTACACTGAGCTAAGGCCATAAACTCATTAAACATTCCTGTTTATATCAATGTGGCTTGAGCAGGGGAACTTTCCACTGGAATGTGCCACTGCCACACTGCTTGGTGAGCAGACTGCCATTTCAGATGTTCCACCTCAAGCGCCATTATGTCTCTGGCCCATCCTGTGTGGGGTGGTGGTGGTGGAAAAGCATCTTGGGATATACTCTGAAGTTCAGGAGCCAGTGCTGAACGTGTGCTTCCACAGGTATGAGCCGTGCCATCTGACAGCCTGTTGTTGTTTATAAATGGTTGCTGATGTATATAGGATTTTGCTGTAAATCTGCAAAGGATTTTGCCACAATGTGGCAGGTTTGTCATCCGGGGCTTTCATGTTATAGATTTAGTACAGTATTATTATTTTTAAAAGAGAGAAATTTGTCTTCTAATTTGTAGAAGCCATCAGAGGACTGCTTGGATGACCTATGATGTACACTTTGTTGCCAGATTTATTTGAGGTATAAGGAGTAAGGGAACACGTAAAACAATCTGCTGAATCATCAATTTCTACTAGAAACCTGTTGTTCTCATCACTTCACCCACTACCATTATTTGCAAATGCAATTTTCCAACAGCTTTCCTGGCCTGTCAGTTCTCTGACTAAACATTTGCCTGGAGCTCTCAAATTTAAATTGATGTCATGCAGAGACTCACTATGGTGAGAACTGAAGATGCTGGTGGTGGTTTAATGATCCCTTTTGCTTGAGGCAGGTAGAGAATGTGGATTCTGCCTTTTGATTTTTTTTTAAAGATACAGTTTGATGCTGTGTCTATTGCCTTCCAAACTCCCCCTGGCAAAAGACAAAATCATGTACCTCTACACTCAGTAACTGAAGGGAGAAAACAGTCTCCGCTAACCCAGAAATAGTACCTCGGGTTAAGAACTTTGCTTCAGGATGAGAACAGAAATCATGTGGCGGCAGCGGGAGACTCCATTAGCTAAAGTGGTGCTTCAGGTTAAGAACAGTTTCAAGTTAAGAATGGACCTCCAGAACGAATTAAGTTCTTAACCTGAGGTACCACTGTACAATGACGCCTCTTTCCCCTGCCTGCAATATAGAACACTTTAGGGAAGTTTTTCCTTGGGGTTATAAGTACAGTTTCCATAAAAGTCACTTCAAGTGGATATTTTGCTTTCTCTTGTTAAATGATAAATATCTCATAAGCACAGATAGAGGCCTGGAAAAACACTGGAAAAATTGAAAAAAAGTGTGTGGAATATTCAAACTATGTCAAACTGTTTTTTTTCTTCCTTTTCATTTTTCCCAGAAAAAAGGGCTTTCAAAAAAAGCCTGCTTTCCCCCCCAGTTTTCCCGTTCCCCCCCCCCCCAGGCCTTCCCATCTCAAAGCACAGCATAGCCATCATTGGTGGCCCATCTTTTTTTTTAATCATCCAAGGATTGGGCAGTCCTCCCGCACTTGTTGCAAAGGCATCCAGGCATTTGAAGTCTCTCTGGCTGGTGTACCCATTTCTTATGTTTATGTTCATGCTAATAAAGCATCAGCTGTTGATTTCTGAATATCAGATCGTTGTTGAGGAGCCAGAAAGGGTGATGGATGCACTCCCTTTTCCTGGTCAGGTCATATTTTGATTATGTATTCTGTGTTTTGATATCGTGTTTTTATTTTGTGAACCGTCCTGAGACCTGCGGATATAGGGTGGTATACAAATTTAAGAAATAAATAAAGTGCTGATCAAATGACTGTATCGATGCCATTGCCAGATCATGGATCTGTTCCTTTATTAAAAGTTTCTTAAGGATGTTAAAAGCTTCATAAGGATGTACAGTGGTACCTTGGGTTACATACACTTCAGGTTACATACCCAGAAATAGTGCTTCAGGTTAAGAACTTTGCTTCAGGATGAGAACAGAAATTGTGCTCTGGCGGTGCGGCAGCAGCAGGAGGCCCCATTAGCTAAAGTGGTGCTTCAGGTTAAGAACAGTTTCAGGTTAAGTACGGACCTCCAGAACGAATTAAGTTCTTAACCCGAGGTACCACTGTACACTTCACCGCAGTGACTGCAAGGTATCAGGGCTGATGTGTCAGGGGTGGTGTGGAGGGACTGGAGCAACATTTGACCTCAAGCTCAAAGGGGTGTCAAATTCAGACACTTGTTATGAGGGGGGTATTTGAAGTGGTTGTGTGAGCCAGGAACTTGACTCTTCCTCCTGCTGCTGTGGAGGGGAAGCAGCCTCCATCCCATGGCAGCAACAGGAGGAGGCGTAGAAACCTCGGCCATGGAAGCTGAGCTGCCGCACGATGCCTGGATGTTGCACGTGATGCCGTCTCGCCAGGCTTTGTGCCCAATGTCACGACATTGCAATGTCATGATGGTGTGCACGACATAAGCCCCCACAATATATTTCCGGAGTAGGAGCACCTGTTAGCTAGTCATTCATCTCTTATTAAAGAATACTATGTCAGCACTTCAGTTGGTTCCTGAAAGCTGACAAGCTTAAATAAGAGCAGGGGAGCATGAGAGGGAAAGTGGTGGGGCAGGGAGGAGGAGACAAATGACCAAATGTGAATGATTAACAAAAATTATCTCCCTCCCCCTTGCCCCAGTTTCCCTGCGTCACTCAGGTGTACAGGACAGAATGCTGGGTTTGATCCCATGAGGTGCATTGATTGGGTATGCTAGCAATCCTACGTTTTGTCTGCTTTGTGAAGTTGGCATGATAAATGTGGTAAATGCTAAAAATGGGTGTATGTTGACTAATGCTTTCAGTGCAGTGAATAAATGTTTGTATGCACCCACTGAGCTGACAACTGGAAAATAACATCATGCCCCAGAGTTGTTTGTTATGAGACATGAGGTGATGATTAGATACTGAGAGTCAGTTGGAAAGTGGCTATACTTAAAAGTGAAAGGGCCCTGGCAAGAAACTGAACGTGGAGCACATGCTTTCGTCTGAAGAACGGAAAGAAATGAATGGCTATCACATTTTCTTTTTTGTAATGCTAGTAGTCAGTTTTAGAATTAACAGATTACCTCCTGAGCCTGACTAGAGTGTACACTTTTTTCAAAACTCTGCAGAATTTATTACGAACTGCCTATCAAAATTAAGAGCCCAGCTATTTTTAAAACACTAAGCCTGCAGAGGGTTTTCAAAAATCCCTCTGTGACAGGTACGCTTGAATAGCGAGAGAATACCAAATAGCCTGTACTGCACCGAACAGTCTTAATATATGTGCACACATTTTTCAGAGTTCTCTTTCCTCTAAAGTGGAAATGGTTGTGAGGCTTTAACTATTAATGTCCTTTAAACTACACTGAAGGCGCCTGATTGTGGCATTGTGCTACGCATATAAGCATACATTTGTAAACCATGCAAACGTAAAATGAGGGTTTGTAATAATTGCAAGCTGTCTCTGAATGGATGTTAGCACAGCATTATGTTCCTTTTATGTGTATACAGCTGGTCCACAGCACCTCACTTTTTGCATAAACTCTATGAGCCCCCGAGAGTCCATGTGGCGTAGAGGTAAGTTTTGGACTAGGGCCTGGGAAGGCAGAGTTCAAATTCCCACTTAGCCATGAAGCTCACTGGGTGACCTTGTGTCTGTCACTGTCTCTCAGTGTCACCTACATCACAGGAATGTTGTCAGGGAGAGAACCCTTGTATGCCAGCTTGCGCTCCATGGAAGAAAGGCTATATATAGCCTAACATCAGTCCTGGAATCACCTTGTGTTCAGCTGCTTCAATGCTGATTTTAGCCATCCATCAACAGACTGCGGAAGGTGGAGGTGAAGGCTGGCATTTGTAAGAGAAGAGAACTGCTGCTGATTGGAATGAGGAGTCGTGGGTAGAAAGCTGAGAGGTTTGGGGTGGGGGCTTGGTTCAGATGCGTTTTTTCTGCTAAAGCTTGTTGTCTTTGCATTTCTGTATTGATGCAGGTTGGAGATGGCTGGACCCAGATTTATTTCCAACAGAACATCCCACCACTCTTTGCTATCGAATTCTGATTATACTTGGGAATATGAATATTATGAATACGGGCCAGTTTCCTTTGAAGGCCTCAAGGCTCATAAGTGTAAGTCTTAATCTGGAAGCTCTATGTTTTGGTTGTTTCAATTACCAAAACTCTTCATTCTCAACGCGAATGTCAAGAAAATGCATTTTTGAAATTGTGCATGCACGCGCGTGCGCACACACATGCACACACTTAGTCAATTTCATAGCACCATTGACTTACCCCTTGTAATTTTCTTAAATATTTGTGCCTGTAGTTTGAGAGCATGGGCATTACAGATAGGGAAGGGGGCAACCCTGACTTCTGAGCCAAGATTTTCTTTTCTTTTATGAGCACCAGCCATTTCAGGATCACTCCATGCCTCAGGGGTGCATGGCGAGCTTCTTTTTAGATTGTCTCCGCTCATCCTATGTTTCATGGCCTTGGTAATAATCACATAGCCTCAATTTGTTCCTCTGATCTGAGCTGCTCTTTGCCAAGACTGTTGTGATGAGCACTACACAGTCCTTTATGAAAGGAGGCTTATCTTTCCAAATGGAATTTGCCAGAGTTGTATGCAGAACGTCAAATGTGAGCAGAGCATTAAGAAGCTGCAATCAGCCTTAATTATAAGCTGCTTTACTCTGCCACGCTGTAATTGTTCCTTTTATTGTTTGAAAATTATATAGCTAAGAAAAAAAAATAGCTTTTAGTATCTTACTTTTGTGTTCTTGCTGTCATTTGAGTTCGCCTTCTTTGCTGGTTTTAAATTCAACCCCCTGGACTATTGGGAAGGAAATGCCACAATGTGTGTGTTTGTGTAGGTGTTTGTGTGTATGCGCACAGACCTAGCGGGTTGTTTCCCATGCTATACACGTGCTAGAGAAATCTTTGCAAAGCAGCAGCAGTGGAGAAAGCCATTTGGGTGCTTGGGGCTGCACGTGTGCCCTATGCCCAGGGGCATGCCCTGCGCCCATGGAAGAGGCCAGCCACCAGCAGGGCAGGGCCAGCCGGGGCAGAATGCTCCACGGGGCCTCCGAGGAGTCTGCCTGTCTCCCCACTCCGCTGCCCTACAGCTGAGGGGGAGGCAATGGGCAGACTGTTTGGGGCAGTGCAGAGCCTGTGGGCACTCAAGCCACCACGTCACTCCCAGGAGAGACGTGTGGCTTGGGCGCGTTACAGGCCCCACGTTGAGTGCTGCCTGGCATTTTGTCACCTCTCTCAGTTGTGACACCCCCTTCCTCCGCCCCTGCAAAGCAGCACAGTTTTTCTTTGCCTGATTTCACTGACAGTGTATGTTAACAATACAAGACTCTGGCCCCAGTCCAGAGATCTTTACATGACTGGCAGTGCAAGTTCTAACATCACTGATCACCTGCTGCAAGTTAGAGAGGAAGGTAGGGAGGGGCATTTAGGCACCCCAGCCTGCTCACAAGTGACCAAGACTGTGAACAGCTGACACAGTGATGTATGTGGATTGTACGTATAGCTGGGGGCAGTAGCACACACAAATACATTTATGTGCAGAGACGAACCTCACCAAATCAAGGCTTGACAAAATGTACACAAAACATAATCAGCCAAGGACTGGGCAACAGCTGGTTCATTTTTCATTTTTGTATTAATGGAAATCTAATGCACCCACGCCGATTAATCTCCCTCCTTCTCTGCTTCTCTTACAGATTCGATTGTGATTGGGTTTTGGGTTGGCCTTGTTGTCTTCGTCATTTTTATGTTCTTTGTACTGACCTTGTTGACCAAGGCGGGAGCACCACACCAAGAGTAAGTACCACCAAACAGACGTCTAAGGCCCAGGACCCAGGTGGCAGCAGCACCTCTGTTGCCATAGCTCTTTGGAATTCGCTCAGAAATAGAGTAGACCCCACACAGGTTATGTTTTAGCCACTGTACAATTCTATGTAACTTGTCCGTTCTGAAAAGACGATGGCCCCTTGATCTTGTCAATGAAAGAATGCCAGTTACTTCAATGAAGAAAAGGACACAAGATGCTGGTTTACAGCAGGTAATCAGCCAAGGCTTGGAAGCTAGGGGAAAGATGGAAAGGGCAGAGCCCCCATCAGCCTTCTTTCTCCCACACCCCCAAACCAGGATGTCTGGAAATAAATCAGATAGCCTAATGAATATTCGAGATGAGGGATCGAGAACTGGCCCTCTGGATGGAGCTGGACTCCAAATTCCCATCAGCCTCAGCTGGCATTGCCAATGGTTGGGAGTAATGGGAAGTGTAAACCATCGACACCTGGTGAGCCACAGGTTCCCCATCCCAGTTCATAACTGTTGGGAATACAGAATGTCCAGCTGTAGCATTTAGCTGGCTTGCAGGAGGCAGAGCCCCATCTATCGCAAACCTTTTCTGGCAGATGGATTCCATCACAATTTTATCCATTCTCTGAGTGTAAGGGTGCTCCCCTGAAAAGAAGTTTAATGATTTTATTTAAATCTGGATGGCTTAGGTTTTGTTTATAACTGGGTTTTTTAAATGAAAATTACAATTATGTGGAAAACATTCAAAATTCCTGGGGTTGTTTTTTTTTTTTAAACCGTTGAAAACACAAAATTAGAACTGCATGTCAAGCTTCTCCTTTTAAGAAGAATAGCTGGAGAGGACAAGTATTTCCATTCAGTTGCTTTGTTAAGTTTGTGTTTTCACAGGTGTTTGACTTTATTGTTATCAGAAATGTATGGTTTGTCGTGGGGCAGGAGGACAGTCCTTCCAATGAACTCCACAGAATTTGCAGCACTTAGGGTTGGTTCAGATAGGCATGTAATCAGCTGATTATTGTAGGATAAGGGCAAGCCATTGACTCAATAATGGGGAGGACATATTTTTTGCCATCCTGTCTCAGCCCAGTCTGTTTCCAGAGAGTTTTTTGGCACCTGATCTTTTATATTTGTTCCTAAACGAAATTGTGCCCAATTTTTCACCCACCGCTCCTCTCTCCTTGCTTCCTAGCACTGCGGACTCTTCTGAGAAAAGGCTCTGCATGAACAACTTTGTGGCAGACTTTGGAAGGCCTCTCGATTCTGATAGGATCATTTCTCAGCAGGCTGCTGAGGAATCCAGGCTGCTTTTTCACTGCTACATCAATGAGTATGAGAACATGGACCGGGCAAAGCAATGCCAGAGAGTGCCAGTTATGGACAGTAACATCCATTTTCAGGAAGTAATTCAGAGCAGTGAGGGACTGGAGGAGGAGCTGAATAGCCATGCAAAATTCAACATCCCCAACTTTGTGAACACTGACCAGAATTCTTCCCTGGGTGAAGATGACCTGCTGATTTCAGAGCCGCCTATCATTTTAGAGAGCAAACACTGAGTCCAGCCTCCCACCAGATTATTGACTGAAGAACATTGAGCAAGGTATTCCTTACATTAAAACAGAACACATTTCTCCTTTACTTTCTATCCTCTCTTTCATTGGTGAATACAGGACTACAGTTGAATACGCTCTGGTAACCAGCATTGGATAGTTCTATGTGGTCTTTTAAAGTGTTTGTTGAAGCCAGAGCTTTTTACACTGCTTATCGTTTTATTTCATTTTATTTCTAGAAGTACAGCACAGCTGTTTAATAAGGAAGTTATCCATGCTGGAATATGATGGGATGTGGGAGTTGTTGGATTGTGTACATGTGAAGCCCCTGAGTGTGTTTGAAAGTCACAAAACTCTTAAGCCTTGCATTTAAGCAAGCTAAGAACACAACCCTCCAAAAACTCAATTCAGAGGAAGTCAATTGTACCTAAGTGTTGAAATACAGTGGTACCTCGCAAGACGAATGCCTCGCAAGATGGAAAACTCGCAAGACGAAAGGGTTTTTTGTGTTTTGAGCTGCTTCGCAAGACGATTTTCCCTATGGGCTTGCTTCGCAAGACGGAAACGTCTTGCAAGTTTGTTTCCTTTTTCTTAACACCGTTAATACAGTTGCGACTTGACTTCGAGGAGCAACTCACAGTGTGGTAGCCTTTTTTGAGGTTTTTGAAGACTTTGGTGATTTTTGAAGCTTTTCCAAAACTTTCCTGACACCGTGCTTCGCAAGACGAAAAAAATCGCAAGACGACAAAACTCGCAGAACGAATTAATTTCGTCTTGCGAGGCACCACTGTAAATGGGATTGCCACAATTTATCTAAGTCCTGTTGAGATCAAAGGACTTAAGCACTAGTAGTGAACTTTGCACTGAGGTCAATGGCTTTACAGTGAGACATAGTTCTACGTCATTTAGAAGTAGTTGGACATTCTGTAGCCTTATGCCATATCCTGTGTTGTAGGAATGAGTGGGCATACATCTATGCTGTATGTGTGCTTTATAATCCTCGTAATGTGCAAGAACTATTCTTGTGTGTTCAATCATATGTATACCATATATACTTACTGGGACCAATTGTCTAGCATGCTTCTTGCATGTGTACAAAAAGCCCTGTAGGTATACATCATGCTCAGACAAGTACCTTCTATTTCCTTATGTTCACACAGTTGTGTTTTTCCTATAGAAAAAGTAAACGGAGATGCTCTTAATTGGTTTCAGTGTGAATAGCATGTTTTGTTTTGTTTTGCTTTTCTTGATGCTTGATCCAGGAGTGTAACTTCTTGATATACATTATTTCTCCAGTACTACTGCTTGAAATAAACTGGGTTGTTGATTTTTATATTAAAAAAATTAAGCCTGCCACCTTCTGTGAACTGCCATACCTTTATTATGCCATGCAATATCTAGTCTTAAGTGAGCTTCTGAATTGCATTGCACATAGTACTATGGAAACAAACTTACAAACCGAGCCATGGATTGAAGCCAGTGTCAGTTTTCTGCGGCAGCAGTGCTTCCCCTTTTGCCTGTAGGCAGTTGGATGGGCCACTGATGGGATTCTTGTTGACGTCAACCAGCAGAAATCCCCCAAATGGCCCCATTGCTGTCACTGGACCAAATTGATATGCCTGCCCCACCTTCTGCCACTGCAGGGCTGCAGATGTGGCAATGGCCCCACCTCCCTGGGATGTGGGGGAGGGGGCTTTGGCTTGCTCATGAAGACTCTGATCTACTAAAGAAGATACCACACCAAGAAATTATGAAAAAGGAATGTGCCTCCATCAGAAAGAAGATAGCTGACAGCATCATAAGGACTCTAACCATTACGAGTCCTTACTGTTGACACCAAATGCCCTGACCACTTTGCAAATACCATTATGCCTGGGAAACGTTTCCAGCTGTGGCAATGTAAGTCCCTTTTTGCTTTTTATTTTCTTTATTTTACAAGGGTTCTCTGATGGTGGGATGGAATATTGTTGACCTTTCCTGTGGTTTTTTGTTTGCTTGTTTGTTACTGCCTTTTCTTGAGAATTTATATAACATAATTGTTCCAGCAAAGCAAATTAACATAGTATCTCCTTAAATGCTCCTATTGGTTTGTTTAAATAATTTGAAATTCAAATTTGCCCATTTTTGTTTTGAACATCCTTCACTCAATGAGCAGCTTTCTACATCTCAAAAGTTTGCTTCTAGTGTTAAGTCTGAATGAGTCCAAGAAGCATACATATATATATACACATATATACATATATATCTGCTACTAAAGGAGTTGCATTAGGGAGTAGTAGTTGCATAAGGGAGCGGGTGGCGCTGTGGTTTAAACCACTGAGCCTCTTGGGCTTGCCACTCAGAAGGTCAGTGGTTCAAATCCCCACAAGGGGTGAGCTCCCGTTGCTCTGTCCCAGCTCCTGCCAACCTAGCAGTCCGAAAGCATGCCAGTGCAAGTAGATAAACAGGTACCGCTGTGGCGGGAAGGTAAATGGCATTTCCGTGCACTCTGGTTTCCTTTACGGTGTTCCATTGTGCCAGACGCGGTTTAGTCATGCTGGCCACATGACCTGGAAAGCTGTCTGTGGACAAATGCCGGCTTCCTCGGCCTGAAAGTGAGATGAGTGCCACAACCCCATAGTCGCCTTTGACTGGACTTAACCGTTCAGGGGTCCTTTACCTTTTAACCTTTGTATTAAAAGAACAGGAAGCTGGAACACAACACCATGTCTGTAATGGCAGGTTTATAGCCAGAAATGATGATTTTGTATATTACTTTGCTAGGTGTTATTTCTTTTTTAAAAAATGGAAGGTGGGAGAACGGGTATCTAGACTGTGTAGGGTCAGACTGGGTTTTTTAAAAGATGGACCTCATCTGGAGGTTATAGTAGTTGCGCTGCTCTGCCCCCTTCCCTCACTTTCTATGACCTCATTTAATCTCTAGGGAAGGTGGAGATCATGTGAAGTAATGTGGCACCATGTTGATATCACAAAGTCCTTTTTAAATGATGCATACTATTTGATCCCTTGCAAAGTTAGGGCTCCACCAGTCTATGGATAGTGAAAAGCTTAGGCATTGCTAATTGTGATGGATCAGGCCTCAGGAGTGTCATTAAATCGCCTGGTGCTGGTGCACGTAAATTAGTAATTTACATGACTAAATATTATAGCATTTTGGTGTCACTGTATCAATACTAGAGTGGATAGTATTTCCATGGCCAAATAGAATGGCACATCATTTATGGGAAAGGATACCATTAGTGTTCTCACTTTGGGGAATCTCAAAGCAGAGTAGAAACAAATCAGCCCCTTTGTTTCAGAGGAAACAGGCTCTAGAGCAGATGGTGCGACTTTCACACTGACTTGAGGCCCAGTGCTTTTCATGTAGCTGACTAATTTTTAGCTGGCTTTGATGTCTGAAAGTGGCCTTAATGGCCAATGGTCCTGTTTTTGCTCAAGATCGCCAATTATGATTGGCGGCCTTGCCAATGAAATCTTTTCATCCTAGGATATCGAAACCAGCACTTTTCCAGCATTAACTGACATGGAAAAGGATGAGAATAGATGCCATTTGCAAATGTTCATTCTGTCCCTTCCAAGGAATTAAAAAGCTGTTAACCTGATAACGATTTAACAGTTGCCTCTAATGCCTAAAAACCACCTGTATGCCTTTATTTTGTCATGTTGCAACAGCTGTAGGAGACTGAAATCTGCTGCCATTTTATTGATGCACCTATGTCACCTTGTCAATGCTACAGTCACAATTTATGTGGTATTAAGAGCATTCATTTTATAAATACTTTATAAAATTATATATAGACTGCACTAGCAAGGCAGGTGCAGCAATAAAACATAAAATATCATTTGAAATGATGTGCATTTTCCTAATTTGATTTTTAGAAAAGCACCTGGAAAATTGTGTTAGCAGAGATATATATACACCTTACCTTTCAAGAGCCTTTATTCATACCTTTTCAAGAGATAGAAATCCATACTTTAAAGCTTTGCTGTAGTTGCTTCCTGAGTGGAAAGAAGCTCCTTTATTTATACAGGTTTGGGAGCAGGAATGAAAATGGAAGTTTGCTGACACCCCTGCACCCCAAAGGAGAAAGACCTGGTGAAAGTTGACATCATACGCTGCTTATGGATATTCCTGCTTGGTCACCAATAGTTTACTTTGGTAGACAAATCTTTGAATGCATCCAATAAAGTGCGGAGATTCTTTTTTGTGAAGGGGAAAAAAGTTCAGCACTTCAAATTTGCTAGTATTATTATTTAATATACAGAATAAAAACAAGTCAGCAAGGATCAGGATAAATGTATACAGGAAAAACCTGGGCACAACTATAAAGTTAAAAACTAATCACCTTTTGTGGCAAGGTTTCATCATCTCTCTCTCTCGAAGCTGTTTCATTGATTAAATGAGGAGCTTTCTAGTCTTCCAGTCATTTTCCGGCATGCTTGGGCCACCTGGTGGAATGATAACACCCTGTTTCTGCAGCTGCCGTAGAACGTCCAAAATCGAATCCAGTTCAATGCGAAATTTCTCAAGCTCTTGGTTCTTCAACAGTGCCAGCTTCCGCCATTTCTCAGTTTCCTGGATTTGTTCAACTTCTGCAATATGCTGTGTTTGCTGTATTACCTGGGTAGTAAGCAACTTCACTGATGAGAGATGGCAGCATAATTTCTAAACCTGACTGTTTCATTAACAGAGCATTTAGAAAACCTTTCATTTATACTGGTTTTAAAAATTCTTTGGAAGGGGCTCTACAAATCAACATCTAAATACTGACTAAATCAGGTTGCAGGTCTATCAGACTTTTAGATGTGGCTTGAGACTCCATAATTTAAGTACTTGTTACAGTAAGCATTTTGAAGGGCATTTGCACTCAAACATTTGAAACATTGATTTTTTTAAAGAGAAGAATTCCCTGTTTTATTTACCTGCTGAAGTTCTTGTTCTCTTTGTTCATATCTGGCCTCCAAGTGTTTGATCTTCCTTTCTAGACACACAAATCGTTTCATCTCTGGGGTCTGGCTCTCTCTAGCCTCTCCAAGTTCTTCTAAGAGTTTTGCCATCTAAAATTTGAGAACATGAAATTACCTGTTTTGTTTTTCTGTGTATGCTCAACGGCATTAGCAGCAACAGATGCTCCTACACCCACTCAAAACATTTCTGGGGATAGGAGTTTCCCCAGAAGGAATTCAGTAAGCACACCATCCCCATTGATTCAGTATGGGATGCAGCACACTGAAATCTAATAAGGGCACTTGTTTATTAAAATATCCCTAATATTTATTATATAAATAGGATAGAAGTCATATGGATTGCACTAGCTTAGCAGCAAGGCTAGAATCCCAAGTACACTTGCTAGAGAGAGCTCCTGCAGCTGCAGCCAATCGGAAGCTGCAGAAGCCCTGTTGGACTTTCGGCTTCCAAAAGAACGTTCAAAAACCGGAACAGCCACTTCTGGGTTTTGATCGTTCAGAAGCCAAAACGTTCGAGAACTAGGCTGTTCGAAAACCAAGGTATATATGTATTTTTTTTGTGTGTGTGTGTGTATGCACACATTCAGTCACATGTAAAAATTAGCTTTAAATTTTGGTTTTATATCTCAGTCTGCAGTACAATACTGTACCCCTGTTTCCCATTTAAAATGCAATGGAAAACTCTGGCTTAAAGTCTCAAAGAACGAAGCACCAAAGCCAATACAGTGGTACCTCTGGTTACCTACTTAATTTGTTCCGGAGGTCCGTTCTTAACCTGAAACTGTTCTTAACCTGAAGCACCACTTTAGCTAATGGGGCCTCCTGCTGCTGCTGCACTGCCGGAGCACGATTTTTGTTCTCATCCTGAAGCAAAGTTCTTAACCCGAGGTAATATTTCTGGGTTAGCGGAGTCTGTAACCTGAAGCGTATGTAACCCGAGGTACCACTATACATAAAGTGCAGAAAGGGGGAAGAGGGCAGAGTCTGGGCACCACATTGTTGTTCCTGCTCAAACTGTCGTTTTAAAGAATCAAATTTCTAATACTCTGAATTACCTCTTTTTGAAGAATTTCCTCTCGCTTTTGTGAAACCGCAAGTGCTTCTTGATCTCTTTGCAACTCACGAACTTGTTGCTGAAGATGTTTAATAAAGACCTATGGAAAGATTCTCAATTATTAGAAATTTTCAACAAAGTACCTCTTGAATCCTATTACAAGTAGGTAAGTGGAGCTTTGGTTTAACAACTTGAACTTTTGTTGAGTAAAGCTGTATTAAGATCACTTGAATTTAACTCTGACTAAGCATGTAAGATCAGCTATGACTAGGAACACAAAAAGTCACTGGAATGGAGGAGAATTGTGAACTTCACCTTAAATGAATACAAAAATATAACCATAGTATATTTCAGAGGCAAGATTACAGTACAAAACATTGAGAAACAGGAAACACTGGCAGTTTTTTGAAGCAGTGAGACAGACGACTGGTCTTCCTCACCTCCTGTGCTGAAATTTTGCTATTTAACTCAGCTGCCTTGGAAGTTGAATGCTCCATAGCATACTGACAAAGAATCTTCTCCAGCTCCTTTTGATGTGATGCTTTAAGCGCTGTAATGTATTCTTCCAAATCTTCCTTTGCCCTGTAAATGTAGCAAAATAAAATAAAATAGCATGTAGACGTTTGTTGAAAACTTCAGAAAATAACACAGCATTTTCATGAAAAACAACAAATTTTAGAATTGTATGTGCATTTATGCCTGTGATGTTCCTGTAGCAGTATCCTTTTCTGCCTAGAATCCTTCCTGTACAATATATCTTGGCTCACGTACAAAAGGAGGGCAAGGGATAAGAATGCTAAAAAAACGCTGGCTTTGGCCCCAAATGAACCTGGCATTAACCTTGGTCTGCATGCCCTTTAAAAACACAAATATTTGGCATGTGGTCTTCCCAGCTGGATAGGTACTGTGACATGGGAAAGGGGCTTGAAGCCGTGGTCCCAACTGGAAATGCCATCCCTACCACCCAGTGCTAACCATGGGAGAAAATGGTGCCAACTGAAGATTTTATCCAATTGCAAATAGTAGGCATCAGGGGAAAGCGAATCAGGTATGCAGTTGGAGAAAGGAGTTTAAAGCTCCTCTTGTCATGGCTCCAATCTTGTGCATATCCTCCTGCGCCTAATACATTTTGAAAATACAAGCACAAGGTTAAAGATATGAAGAAGGTCATGCCTAGCTTGGCCCTTAGTCACTGATGGGGACAGCTGCCTTAGAACCAAACTGTGCATTATATTCAACACATATCACATTAAATGTAGGGTGTGGTGCGGGTTTTCCCCCTAGAAAATAGCTATGCAGGGGCTTGATTTTTAAAGCTCCTCTTGTACACTGGAGTATCAGTGAAATTATTTGGGGTGACATTTACACGTCCAGATTTACAGCTAGGCTGAGCTCCCATAAAGACGGAATACATAAATAAAGATGGTCAAACACATTCTTTCTCCTCCTGCTGCTTCAAGCCACCACTGCCCCAAGTGGAATGGCAGCCTTTTGCAGCTGCATTACAATTAAAATAAGGATGGCGGGGAGAGGACGTCACTGCTTTCCAGCATGATGTTTCCATTGTTCAGTGACTCTTCCCATGTTGGAAGCACATTACACTACAAAAAAAATCTCTATATTGGCTTAATTTACACAATTTATAGAAATGGCAGGCTATGGTTTTTCTGTGCCCAGAGTTGGTGGTGGGGTTATTAGAACAGTGTACCTACAAGCAGGAGTAGGAAACCTGTAGCCATGGAGATGCTGGCGGATTCCAACTCCATCAGCCCCATTAATGGCTATAGAAGACAGGAGTTGTAGTCAAAAACATCTGGATGCCGCCAGGTTCCCCACTCCTGCCCCAAGCCAAGGAGTGACCTTGAACATCACATTTTAAAAACTGCTCAGTGTTAAGTGAATTACCTTCTTACAAGACTTTCAGAATTTGCCATGGCTGCTTGAGCTTTTATCCTTTCCTGGCTTAGTTCTAGAGTCAACTTTTCTACATCATCTTTCAGACGGCTGTTTTCTTGCAGGACTTCTGAAATGTGACAATCGGCAAAAGCGTGGGGCTGATATATTTTCTCATCGAGAGTGCCGGGGAAGAACTCTTCATTTCTGGGGTTCAGCTGACTAGGTTTGACAATATCCTTTTTCAGGATTCCTGAAGGCTTTTCTTTAGCATCTGCTTTGCCAGATGAGAGCATAATCCTCCTCTCTTTCTGAAGCCTTTCTACAGTTTTTGTGAGGTCTTGTATCTCTCTGTTTTTGGCAATCATTTCCTGATTTAGTCTTACCAGCTTCGCTTTAGAGTGAGCCTGCTCCACCTGGTATTCTAGCGACTGGAGGTCCGCATCATCTTTTGCTTTCTTCTGCAGCTCTAGCTGAGCTAACTGGCTTCTGAGAGAGTTTATTTCAGTCTGAAGGTTTTGCACTGTGATCTGGTGGGCTTCATTTACACTACAAAGTTCTCTTTCATGAGCTGCAAGGGTGGCGGCCTTGTCCGGAAGCTTCTGCGGCTCGTTCAGCAGCTTATATTCCAGCAGCTGCTCAAGCTCCCCAATCCTCTTCTCATACTGAATCTGCAAAGGACAAGACTCTATGAAGTGAAGCTTCCTAGGTAAATTAGATTTGCATCATATACACAGCTGGGATAGCCCAGTTGGTTAGAGCACAGTGTTGATAACGCCAAGGTTGTAGGTTCGATATGGAACAGCTGTATATTCCTGCATTGCAGGGGTTTGGACCAGATAATCTGCAGGGTCCTTTCGCAATGGGCTTTATTCAGACTAACTGTGAATGCAGTTCTGCTCATGGGATGCTTCCATGGGTGCAAAGGGAAGAGGCAGGTTTTGTGACTCCCTCACCCTTAAACCCCCTGTGCAGCTTAAGGAAAGGATAAAAGGGCTCAGATAAAGGAGCACCCTAATTCAGCAAGTTCTGCATATGGAAGCAGCCTTCCACATACATTGCTAATATGGAAGCAGATAGGCACCTAGACCCACATCCCCACTGGGATGCTCCTCTGAGCCTAAGTGAACTTGCTGTATGCATCTTTTGTTATGACTATGCAACAGGATAGAATCTGCACAGGAATGAGCATATTTATTGTCCATGAATATGCCTGCATTGGAGCATGTCTATAATATTAAAGGTGTTGAAATTTCTGGTGCTAGAATACAAAGAGTTTTTAAAGAATATATAAAAGGTAACTATGATCTCATTCCCACTCCTTGGTTCATTACTGTAGGATTCAGTTAACACTTGGGAGAGAGCCCAGGAGCAGCTCAAGCTACTCGTCAGGAGAAACAAAAACTACGCAACCACACCAAAACAATATTGCTGTTTAAAAGCACAGTGGAGTCTAAATCACCTTTATCTTTTGAAACTGCTGCTCCATGGCACGGAGACTTTTCTTCGCTTCATCATCTTTACCCTCAAGTTCGGCTTCCAGCTTCTTAACTCTTCTCTCAAGAAAATCCACTGTATTCGTTTTTGCTGATGGATTGCCTTCCCCTTCAGAAGCAGTGGCCGTGGCAGCGGCATATATCAAAGCTGGCAAAGAATTTGGGTGCCTTCGTTTCAGTATCCCTTCCATTTCTTTAACCTTTCAAAAATTAGCACAACAACTATTAGTTACTGTGTTTTAACTAGGCTGAAATCACATGAGCTGCATTTTCCCAATGACAGAGAATATACTGCCAGTAATTAAGATCATGGATGTAATCCTGTCTACGCACTTTGCACTGCAAATGTTTAGAAATAGTGCTTCCAAATTTAAAATTCTATCATTAATGAGACATGGCTGGGATCTAAAAAAGTCACACAGCAAGTTGTGCCTAAGAGTTTGGGCACACAGAGAGGCTTTTACAACTTTTTCTTTTTTAAAAAAACTGAACAGCAGACCCAGTGCCTTATCATAATACTCTTCTCTTGCAAAAATGGTTTGCTAGATGCTAGGAAGATGAACACTGGTGTCGACTGAGAACAGAGAAGGGACCATAGCTCACTCATAGAGATTTGCATGCCGATGATAACAGCATCAATCCTGGGCACTACCACTTAAAATAACTTAGGTAGCAGGTGATGAAAAAGACCCTTGGCAGAGACCCTGGAGAATCACTGCCTGTTACTGTATATGATCCTAGGATGATAACACCCAAAGTTCCCTTGAGGATCTGAAACTAGTTGTATGCTTCTTTCCCATATGCCATAAAAATATACATACAGGAAATGAGAGTATAAGGAAGTAATAGCTTTAAAAGGCATCACCAAATTACATGAATCAACTATTAAAACCACTAAATTATCTCTGACATCAATAGCTATAGACCATATAATTAAAAAAAAATTTTCCCCCATAAACATGTAGTGTAGCAAAAACTTCATTACATATTACTTATCCCATATCTGAAGTCTGGATTGCAGTTTCTTCTCTGACACTCGATGCTCCTCACCTACCTGGATTTTGGTGCCCTACCTTTGGATACAATGCTATTTGAAACATTGCAATATATAGTTAAGATATATGGGAAGCAGTGTTTTGTTGTGCTGACGATTTGCCATTATTCTTCTCTCCTAAAGCATAAATGGGGAAAGCGGTAGCCCTCCAGATGTTGCCAGGACAACAACTCCATTCTTGACCACTAGTCATGCTGGCCAAGGCCAAGCAAAGGCAGCCGGAGTCCACAAACTTCTGAAAGGCCACAGTGTCTCCATCTCTGTCCTACAGCACTCCCATTTACCTAATTTTAGCAGCCAAATCAACTCTGGCGATCAGTGGGGTGACGGATGTCACACCGAGATCACCCTTTTCTAGCTGTGCAATCTAAATAAATTAAGATCAGCCCTACAAGTGCCTAAACACATCTCCGATGCTACCATACATCTTGAAATTGGATTCGTAAGAATAGAGGCCAGAATATGGCTCGCCACACTAAATTACCAGCAGAGACTATCCTTCCTCCCTTGCTCCCTTAACTGTTAATTGTTGTACTACGTGCCTGCCGCTCAAGGTCTTGAATTCGTTTGGCATCTGCCGCTCTGTCCTTCAACCTTTTCTTTTGTTGTGCAGACTGATTCCCAGCTTCACTTCTAAGCTGATCCACCTACACAGTACACAGAAAGGCACACAGAAGAGTGATGTAAGCAATCCATTCATTTATCATTAGCACAACCTCTTCTTTAAAACCGTTTAAGACTTGCATGTGTATGAACAAGAACGATAAACACAGAAATTGGTAACCATGGTGCATAGGAAATGATCCCCTCAATCTTATTTACAAAACTTGTAATTTAAGCAGCAGGGGAAAATCAGTACCAGCATGGTAAATGAATGGGTCGTTTTATCCCAGTTTAGTTAGTGCCAAACCTCATGTGCAGAATGTTCTAACTACATATTCTGGAGTGGAAACTGAATTACAGCCTAGATTCAGACAAACCCTGACGTACCGTGAAACCAAAGAAAGGGAGACCATAGGCTGAGATGGGGAAGCTTGTTTGGCAGCTTGTGACTGAAAGTCATGCCTTTGGGAACTTTATGACAGATAAATCTATAATCATAAATGTGCAAGCAGAACTGCTTGAGCCCCTGACAGCTGGAAACCTGAAGGACATTAGATGGGATTCAGCCCAAGTGTCACTACTCAGCTCTGGCCAAAAGGGAATTGCAGCAACCATTCCCAAAGTAAAATTCCTGAAGTTCAGGCTGCATGGTACCCTGGCATTTTCTCTTATCTCTATGTGAAAAAGTACGATTTTGCTGGCTGGTCTCAGACGGCCTTTGCCTTGCTACTGCCTTGAATGGTACTGGAGGGAAGTCTGACCATGCAATCACCTCATGCTGCAGTTTATCAATTTCTTCCTTAGCTCCTCGAAGGCGAGCTGCATCTCTATCCAAGAGTTCCTGATTTTCTGCATACCACTGGAGTCTTTTCTGCAAGCGACCAATTTCGTCTTTGTATGATTCTTCTACAATCTTCATCTCATATGATTTTTCAGCTAGGAAGAAAATGTTCCAATTAAAAAAGTGTGACAAAGCATATCTGACTCAAGACTAAGCTTATTTTGGGCATTGGGAAAAAAATAGAGGCAAATTAATTTCTACAAAAGCCGTAAGATATTTAGATTTCCTCTTTGTGGTGAAAACGACTCTTGTAAAAATAAGCTATAAATCATTGTTTTAAAGTCTGATGATTTGTGGTGGTGGCAGAGAGCTTTTTCAAGAGCTGCTATTCCTTCCTTTCCATTCTAATAATACACAATAGGAAGATCAGACTACTACTGATATGCAAAGAACCAGTGGCCTGGAACCAACATCCCCCCCCCAATAATTCCATCCCACATTGACATCAAAAGGAATTTAGGAAAATTTCTCCTACTGCCCCCAGTCTTTGATGCATACTTTCTCTCTCGGAACTGCTCTTGTTGCCTGTCCCCAACTCATATGTGAGCAGTTTCCTTTGCATGCAAAGGGTCCTGGGTTCAATCTCTAGCATCTCCAGAAAGGAGCAAGATCAGGTGACGGAGAAGACCCGACACTTTGAAGAGGACCTTGCATTAGGCAGCTTCCTATGCTTGTATGATGATAAATTGTTTCGTTTGTGAGATTTCCATCACACAGGCCCACCCCCTGGTAGACAACTCACAGAAGCAAGTGTTGTGCCGTACCCTGCTCACGTGTTTCTGGAGGGGTAGCTGCCAATGTACATATAATCCACCTACTGCCCCTCCATCTCTCTTGATTATCTCACTCTTCCCTGGTGTGTTAATGCAAGACAACAGTATCGCAAAAGCTTAATACAGTATTAATGGAAACACAGATTTTATAGTCAGTGAAGTAAAAGATCTTACTATTAAACGGAGGATTAACCTGTTCAAAAGCGGTGCTTTACCTGAAGTGGAAGTGATTTGGGCTCTTGCTAAATCTCGTTCCTTCTTCACTTGCACCAAATCTACTTCAAGGGCTTGCTTGTCTTGCTTTAGACGCTTTTTCTCTTCGAGCAAATTGCTTTCGATAGTCTTCATTCCCCGCCACCCCAGGAAAACAAAAGAGGGATACAGAAAACATGCCATGAGGATAACACCTCTTGTAACCATTGAAGTGAACTGAACTGATCATCATCACAGATGCCTGAATAAAGTGAGAGATTTCCAGGCATAGATCTGCTATACTGGGGCCACAGCATGGGAAAACAGAGCCTGACCTGCACAGCAGAGGGGAGCAGATTTGTTATTTCCCCTTGTGCCAGCAGAGTCAATGTAATGCAAATTATAGTGTCTTGTTTAGAGGTCTCCATACAGCTTGGCCACAGCAAATTACCGTAAATGGCCCATTTGTTTCATTATTTGAAATATAAATAAATAATAGTAATAGCAACTTGCTGGCAAAATGTATAATGTTTTAAGTGGTGACTATTTCAGCAAACTAGTCTAAAGAAAAAGCATAAGTACTTGCCTTGGCAGCCCGAAGTTCTAAAATCAGGGCAGTGAAACTCTGATTCCCAGCTGATTCAGCACTCTGCACTCCACATGATAAAAGGTTATTTTTATCCTGTTGCTCTCTAGTTTAATTTTGAAAAAAAGAGAGGATTATTAATTTTATACAGCTCATGGTTTGTTGAAGTAGTTCTATCGAAACACTATTCCTGCAATTAAATCAGAGTAATTTTTAAAATATCCAGTCCTTGTTAACTCATGCTGGCCTGATTCACATGTCACGTCAAGGTATAGTTTGGTGCTGATTGTTGAAAGACTGTTTTACTCTCTCTGGTGAGAAATACTGGTGAATGTTTATTTTCCCTAGTACTGTCAGAGTGAGAAGCTGTGAATCTAGTGGGAGTCAGGACCCATAGGTAAGAAGTAGGGGTGGGTGAATATTAAAGTACCCCAGGTGAGCTTTGGGATAGGCCGTCTGAGACTTTCTCTCTCCCTCTCTCTTGTGCTTTATTGTGTCTTCCGCCTCCCCTTCCCCCTTCCTTCCCTGCTGCATGGGTATTCTCTCTTTATGTGATGGTGAACTGGTTGGATGGGCACTGTATTGTTGACTGCTATGATGCATTAGGGGTTGATGTGAAAAGGTAATCTGCATGCAGCATGTATTTGCAGGGAGTTGCCCAGAGCCAGGGCACAGAGGACCATGCAACTTGGTGACAGAAGGAAAAAACAGGCACAGCTAGTGGTGGCAATGGAACAAAAGATGCTCACATCTGATGCCTATATCTGCCTCCCCACAGCCCCAGAATACTGTTGGATGCTCTTCCACTGTGCCCAACAGCTTGGTGGTGCTATTGCTAAATGCCAGGTCTGTACAGAATAAGACAGTGCTCATTCATGGATGAGAGTGCCCAATGGCATGCATTACTGAAACATGGGTGAGAAAGATGGGGGTAGAGGATTGCACCCTTGGTCTTATTTACTGGTAGGTGTATTCTGTCACTGAAAAAGTGCAATTTATATGATTCTCTTCAATCTATTTAACACACAGCAACCACTTTTTCTATCAATGTTAGTGAGGGTCCTCTCCCCCTTTTGTCGAATGGAATGTTAATGTGTTGTATGATAACCCTTTTCTTTGATATAATGTATTCATGCATATATATTTTTCACTGTAAGTTCCTTGAAGACTCTTTAGATGACAAGCAACTAAATTTAATAAAATAAACAATCATTGTTACACTACTTCTTGGAAAGTTAAAGAAAGGAAGGGACACTGAAAAGAAGACACCCAAACTCTTTGCCAGCTTTGATACATGACTGCTGCTAAAGTCAAATGGTATATATTTTTCTAAAATAAATAAATAAGATGATATCTGTGATCCTAAGCATGATTAAGCTGATTTCAATGGAAGAATTAAGTTTAACTCCCTTCCACACAAAAAATGGGACATGCACTTCAATCCTATGTACGCTTACTTGGAAAAGAGACCTATAGTGTTCATTGGGGCTTAATCGCAAGTATGTGGGCAGCTTCCTCTTTACATTCACATTAAGACCTGCTTAAAGTCATCTACATTTTTCATTAGATCCTCAGATAAACTCACCGTAAAGACACCAACTCAGCCATCAAACGTTGGTTCTCTTTAAACATGTTTTCTTCATTTTTCTTGTTATTTAGCTGCAGCTCTTTCACTTGCTTATATAATCTTTCATTTTCCTTCATTGAAATATCAAGGATTAATTCACTTAGTTATTATGTATTCATGTGAAAGACACTTCTTAGAAATTACTCTTTACAAATTCCAGAAGGGTAGCCTTTTCTTCCGTCTCCATATAAATAAGTACCTCATTGAACTAATCAATGCACATTGTCCCTTGCTTATGAATGGACTAACATTTCCATGCATGTCCCAGCAATTGTCCAGCTGCTCTACCTTCATTATCAGTCTTTTATCTACCAATTTCAGATACCAATGTCTTTTCATATACGTTATCTTTATTGTCATTGTCCCATACAGAACAATGAAATTGGAAATCTACATAAAATATTCAACCCCCCCCTAAAAACTCTGAAACCCCATTTTAAAATACAATATACTAAAGAGACTCCTTATGCTGCGTTTAGAACCAGAATTGCATTTGCATAGAAATTGTTTCTCATGCGGCTAGTCCTGGTCTTTATAACCCTATACCTTCTTCCAGAAGGCAGAAGCTGAAAGAGATAATTTCCAGGGTGCGTATTATCCTGTGCTATCTCTGCAGCTTTCTTATGGCACCTGACAGCATAGATTTGATCTAAGGTGGGAAGAGTGCACCCAATTATTCTCTCTGCAGTCTTTACAACCCTGGACAGCATTGTTTTTTCCCCTGGCCGTGCAGCTCCCAAACCACACACACAGACCATAAGTTAATACACTCTCCACAGTACAAAGGTAAAATGCCATCAACAGGTCCTTTGAGAGATTGTTTTTCCGGAGGATTCTCAGAAAATATAACCTCTGCTGTGCTCTCTTCATCAGGTCTTTGCTGTTTTCTCCCCAGGTTAGGTCATCTCTCAACTCCATTCCCAGAAATCGAAACACTGAGACCTGTTCCACGCACTTCCCCTCAATAATAAGTGGTGTGAGGGCCATTGCCTTTGACCTTCAACAATCTGGTCAATTCACTATCAAGCTCCCCACCTCTCCTTTTATTTTTATACAATGCACCATAGTTCTCAACCTGGATACAGCTTTAAAAACTGACTGTGTAAATACTTTGTAAGTTTTACTCAGTGAAGCCACAGTATTAAGTATATCTACCTGTTGATACCCTTGAAGGAGAGTCTCCTGATTTTGGACTTCTTTTTGGATTTCTTTCAGCATTTCTCCATCATCAGGAATTCTTTCCAAAGCATTTGACAACTTTGTTCCTTTGTTCGGGTCTTCTCTGTTATTTAGCTGAGAAAACATGAACTATGAATAACGTATACTTCATAAAATCGCTAGGAAGAAAAAGCCCTTATTAACAGATTCCTGTACATTTAACAGACTGTTCTCTTTAATCATCATTATTTGTATCCTATGCCTGTCTCCTTGCAATATAGCAAAACATATTAAGGGGGTGGGGAGCAGCTTGCTTGGCTACCAGCTGAAATAGCCTTCTCCTAAAAGCAGAAGGTCACTTCCTGCAAGGTGTTTCAGCTAGCTATGAGAGACAACATTTTATCCATGGCTTGCCATGATTCCCAATTTGATTTTATCAGAACTAAAATGAAAGATATAGTAAATGCTGTTTTTAGTGAACTGTATTAAAAGTTGTTTTTTTAAAAAAATTGAACAGGGAAAGGATATAACTAGGTACAGTACCCGTGTTTGAAGAATGTAATTTTCTTGGTTTAGCTGAAAAAGGTCTTTATCTTGTTGCATTTTCATTTCTAGGATCTTAGTCTCCATTACCTTCTCCTTTTGCAAAGATGCGGCTTTTAGATTCTGAATCAAATCATGGGCTTCGGCCAATTTTTCCTCTGCTTCCTGAACTCTTTGCAGTAAATAAAGCTCCCTCCCACTATTTTGGGATGGAGAATATGAGGCAACCTGCTGTGGGGAAAAAGTATACTATTCTGACAGCTCATCACACAACCAAGATTTATGGATCATTTTCTTTCAGTTCTGTAGTACAAATTGCAAGTTTCAAAATTTTCAAAGACTGAATTTTATGAGAACCATTTAGCATTTTAAATTGAGAGAGGGAAAAAACAACAATGCAAGTAAGTTTTCCATGAAACAAGATGAAAGCTTCAAGGTTGGCTCGTTTCAAGTGTGAGGTAGCTTTGGCACTGCAGAAAAAACTTCATGCATTCAAAATGCAGTCAGTTGTTTGGGAGCACCGTGTACTGTAGCATAGATATGGATGTCATCAAATTAATAGATGGAGAACCATTGGAGATGAAGTGAAATAAATATCATTTACTATGGTTTGGGTCTAGTTTAGTATTTCCACAAATGGAAAATCAAAAGGTCTCCTTATGCCAGGCATAGGCAAACTTGGCCCTTCAGATGTTTTTGGGACTACAATTCCCATCATCCCCGACCACTGGTCCTGTTAGGGATGATGGGAGTTGTAGTCCCAAAACATCTGGAGGGCCGAGTTTGCCTATGCCTGCCTTATGCTTACAGAAGAGGCTATGATTCAGTGAAGGTTTACATGAATCAGCAAGGGTATAAGTTGCCTCTTCCTACATTCTCATTTATGGACCTCTGCATCCAACCCTATGCAATTTTTAATGACAGCTGTCCTGCCTCCAGTGGACACTTACTCTATTAAATTCAAAGAGAAGGCAACACACTTTTGTAACCTGAACAGGATCTCTAATGCTGCACATACTTTTTGTGCAATGATTTGGAGTTACATTATAAATGCAGTGTAAATCAGGCCACAGATCAGAACAGATAAAAGTGCATCAAATTACATACAGTGGTGCCTCGCAAGACGAAATTAATTCGTTCCGTGAGTTTTGTCGTCTTGCGATTTTTTTCGTCTTGCGAAGCACGGTGTTGGAAAAGTTTTGGAAAAGCTTCAAAAATCACCAAAGTCTTCAAAAACCTCAAAAAAGGCTACCACACCGCGTGCTATGAGTTGCTCCTCGAAGTCAAGTTGCAACTGTATTAACAGTGTTAAGAAAAAGGAAACAAACTTGCAAGACATTTCCGTCTTGCAAAGCAAGCCCAAGGGAAAATCATCTTGCGAAGCAGCTCAAAAAACAAAAAACCCTTTCGTCTAGCGAGTTTTCCGTCTTGCGAGGCATTCGTCTTGCGAGGTACCACTGTATGTATTCTCTTCTCACATTTGTGAGGGTAGACAACCTGGGTGATACTGAGACACTCCAGGACAGCAGGGATTCCTACGACTCTACAAAAAGTTTATATCTGCTGCAGTACTGTTATTCCCTTGCAAGTCCCCTTAAAAAAAAATCAATTTAGGAGCAATGACTTACATTGTGTGTCTGTAGGCAAGAGTCACTTTCTTTAGTTGGCTGTTGAAGACTGCTTGCAGATGATTGTCCAGTGGTAGCACAGTAATTTCTCTTTGTAGAAACTGGATTGTTTGCTGTCTGTATTGTTATAGTTCCAGAAAATGTTTCTTTGATGAGAGAAAAAAAATAGTGGACGCTGTAATCTTAATAGCCCTAGCTATTTATATGGAGACATAATATTTCTTTGAACAGATCATGCAATGTACAAGAGTAAAACTACTGGGCGAAATTCCATGATGCCTGTTCACTAGTAGAATAGACTTCTGCTTCCATAAAATAACTTCCCTTTCCTTTCCTCCTCTCTGCTATGTTGGGGGAACTTCCAGAGGAGGTGGAGGTCACTCATGTGACATTAAATGTTGCCCACTGCTGTTGTCTTCCTGCTTTGAAATTACAGAACCAAATACTGCTGCCATACTTCCAAACCACTTTCCGCAGTTCACTATTCTTCTTTATATATCCCATTACCCCCTAAGTATTTAAAATAACATATAATCTTCTCTTACAATTCTTGGGGGGGGGGGATCCACTTTAAACAAGGATCAATCCTGTAGGGAACATGCATGTTAAAACAAGGCACTTGTGTCTGACAAGTCATTTTACAACTTCACCCCCTCACCTTATTTCTGTGCTTTTATATTGTAAACATATCACCATCTAAAATATTTCCTTCCTGCTTTAACAACCTTACCTACTCAAAGGTCTCCTGTTCTAAACAAATACCACTGCTACTTTTTATATCTAGAATTCTTTCCAAGTCACTGACATGGTGGGTATAACATCAAATATTTCTCTAAAACACATATTTTGCACAAATTCTTTCACTTAATGTTGTGCAGCCAAATCCTATACAGATTGACCATATGGTAAGTGTGCACAGGAATGCATTTACAACTTGTTATCCCAGCCTCAGCCTCCCTTCACTTTGTCAACTCCTCCTCCTCCTCATCTAGATTTGGATTGTAAACAAATTAGGAGAAAGTTCTATATTTTTCAGAGTATCCTAAACAGAGCACCATGTTCACCAAACCGAAGGACACTAACAAATACGTCCTCAATTTTTTGTTTTGAATTCTGACTTGCTTCCCTGAATCATCAAACTTGATAATCTATCCCATCTTCAAAAAGCAGTTTAGAGAACATGCACAGGAGCTCTTTTTAATGAGAAGCAGAGGAAAAAGAGCACGCACAGGGTGATCTTTTTCCTTTGGGACTCCTTCATGGCCAACTCTTTATCTGCTGCCTTACAAATAGTCTCAGACCACAGTGGTTTTGCCTTGGGAACTCGAGGTCAAAGATACTCTGCAGTCTCAAACAGTTTGCTGAATATAGTTGACAAACTGGAAGTGCAGTTAACTAACTACACCTTGCTTTAAAGAAGTTGAAATGCCTTGTGCAAATCACGTTGCTATGTTGAGCACTGGTAAATCTGCCAACAAAAACATTTAGGTCAAAACCTATGTTTGAATGTATCTAAATGTTTCACATTTTTCAACAGTATTATCATCTTGCAAGAAGCAGTATACAGTAACATTTAATCTTGAGGAATCCTACACTTGACATTTCCCCTACATTAAACCAAACATATCTGCATTAAAGACACACTAAAAATCCATTACCTTTTTGTCTTGGAGGAGATTTTGTTTTTAAAACTGGCTTTTTGACGTTTTCCTTTAATGTCTTCTTTTCATTAATTGTGGAAAAGTGCTTTAATGGAGAACTGGATCTTCCATATCCAGAACTCCTAACAGAGCTATGGGGTCCACTTAGAGATTTCTTTCTATGTACAGCAGCTGTATTTTTGGTGTTTCTGAATGTTACTTGTTTGTTCATCACCGAATTTAGACCTTCTTTAGTCCAAGTGTTGGACAAACGAGTCTGGAGACAACATTATATATTATTAAATCAACCAGCTTGGCTTTGAATGTAAAATCAAGTCAAGTGTTTACAATGAGCTTAACACAACAAGTTTTATACATAGTGCTCACCTGTCAATCATCAGGCATCAGGTGACAGAACTTCGAAGGAAAGAATCTGCTTGAATTCAAGCCAGAATGCAAAGCAAGAATTGGGAGCACACTTCTTCCTGTTAGCTAGTTAGAACTTTCCCTGGTCATCAGGCCAGGCAAAGTAGGGCATAGTGTGCTCAAAACAACCTGGTGAGCAAACCTCTGAGGCTGGCAGGTCTAATGAGACTCAAGGGAATAGAGGTTCCACACCAATGATATATACCAGATTACATTTCAATGTGTTGTGCTATTCAGCTCATGTGTAAAATTTCCTATTTGCTCCCAAAGACTGGAAAATGAGAATAACCAAGGAAACAAATTTGTGTGCCCATGGGGAGGTACCAGTTTCTGTGGCAGGGTGGAGCAGCCTTCCTGGCACTGCCATCACTGCAGCTTACCTGGATGGGGCTGGGGTCAGAGCTCTGTTGGCCAATCCAGCACTATTGCTGGTGCACCTAAGCAGCCCAGACCTTCCATTGCCCTGCTCTATCCAGGTAAAGTGCAGCGACACAGCTGTCAGAAGAGTGGCTCTGCCTCACTGCTACTGATGGGCAAATTGAGAGAGGGGAAGGCTGCATTCTTAAAACAATTTGCCTGGAAGTAAGTCCCACTGAAATTGATCTTCCTCACCCGAGTAAACATGGGTAAGAGTGGGATGGAAAGAAGTCTGTTGATAATATTTTAAAGGTCTACTAAGACTTCTTTGATATTCAGCTGCCTAGCCCTCAGCTGCTTCAGACACAGAAGACAAGGCAGCTTCTGTCTTCAAAGCTGCATAATCAGAGAAGATTAGCCAAGAGTGTCAAGACAGGTGAGGCAGGAAGAGGTCAAGGAGGAAACTGCAACAGTGAAAAAGTTAGAGCAAGGGTCAGCAACCTTTTTCAGCCGTGGGCAGGTCCACCGTCCCTCAGACCATGTGGTGGGCCGGACTATATTTTGAAAAAAAAATAATGAACAAATTCCTATACCCCACAAGTAACCCAGAGATGCATTTTAAATAAAAGCACACATTCTACTCATGTAAAAACAAGTTGATTCCCGGACTGTCCACGGGCCAGATTGAGAAGGCGATTGGGCCGCATCCGGCCCACAGGCCTTAGGTTGCCTACCCCTGGGTTAGAGGAAAAAAATGGGGAACAATAGCAGGGATTCAACAACAGAGATCTTTATTGGCTGAGCCCAGTGTCTTGGACTTCTTTCTAGGGAGGTTAATTTAGTTAACCATCTTTGGTGCTTGGTGAAGGAAAGTGAGATAAAAATATTAAGGAAAAAATAATCAATCAATTAATCCTTGTAGCACCCAAGGGCCTAACTAGTGAATATTATGTACAATCTGTTTATTAAACAAACAAACAAACAAACAAACAACAAACAATAAATAAATAAATAAATATGATATGTGCATAGCTGATCTTTATACTTGCATAAATCTCTTAAGACACTGAGATGCTGTTTACCTGGTTAGTCTTTTTGTCTTGATGCAATACTGAAGAACTTGGGAGACTATTTTGCCTCAACACATCATGTTTAAGTTTATCAATCCGTTTGTCCTTGCCAGTCCTTTGATGAGGAATCAGTTCACTATCTTCCTTTGCAACAGCTTGAACAAGAACATTCTCTTGTCCACTATGCTGCTCCAATGAACAGCCAATGTTTTGCTTTTCCTGAGCAGTAGCATTCTGCTGCTCTTCCAGTATTAAATGGCTCATTAATTCATCAGTGCCGTTGTGTGTTGCTTTCACAGGGCTACAGAAAAAAAGTGAAGAAAGCACAATCCAAAGATTATATGCATTAGGTTTTAGTTTATACATTATTGTTACGTGACTGTTAACGGGATACATTAAGACATATGGCCTGATCCTGCAGGACGGGCTTTAAGCAGTCATGGAAGAAACCGTGGGTGCTGCAGGAGCTAAAAAGCAGCACCTTATATGAGGCTGAGTGGAAAAGACACAGCTTGATATTCCCAGTTTTCTTTAACAGCATTTGCAGGTAGGGTTGGGAATGTACCTGCCTGAAACCCTTGACAGAGGCAGCCAATGAATGTAGACAATACTGAGGTAGATTGACCAATGGCCTGACTTAATATAAAGCAGCTTTCTATGTTAGAAAAGACTAGGGTTGGCTCCTATAGCTGGTGCAAAGAGAAGAGCTGTTCACTTATGCTGGAAACTGTGCCCAGTCACAGCACCTCTTCTCTTAGTTTAGCATTCTGCAGGACTGGACCATTAGAATCTATTTCAGGTGCACAACAGCATGCCAGCTTCAAAGTTAAGCCAATAACTGTATTAAGTGAGTACTGGCAGTATGGGACTTAATCTCAGGATTAGGTTTTAAGGACTGATCTGTCTCAACTGCAAAGCACAAACTGCAAGCTAAGACAAACTCCCAAATCCTTTGGACAGGGGTTGAAGAAGGGGGAGGGGGCAAAGAACAAGACAGAAAGAAAGGACATTAATTGGCATAAACTGTGTATTTTCTAGAATGAATACCTTGCAGGGTCCCTGGTAAAATCTGAATCTGCTCTGATAGGTTTCATCAGTTCTTCTATGGTGGGGAGATCTAAGTAGATGAAACGACAACATTCTAGATCAACAAACAGTAATGAAATACTTTCAAATAAAACTCACCCACTGATTCTGTGTTCATGTACATGCATGAGCACATCCAGTATGTCCTTGGCTATAGGTAGTCTCCTGTTATATGTAGTGTGATCTCTCCTGTCTATGGCATAACATTCCTTTTGTAACAGTAGCAATCCTTTTGAGATATAATTCATAACCTCCCCAGACTATTTACAAACCAATTAATCTTCACTTTTATGTATGTGTTTAGTAACTGTCTTACATTTTGGTCAGGTCTCCTGTATATGCAATCTTTTTTAGTGAATGAACAGTTTGTGTGACTCCTGGGTCAACTTTCGCATTACTAAATGAACACACTCAAACAGTATCTGATTAAGGACCTACCACTCTAAAAATGAGCAACTAATCGTCAATGCTTCAGAATTTACTTTCATACTGTGCTAGTATCTCAGCAGGTAGCAAAGACACAGATGAATAATAATTCCTGGGTGGCAGCTTCCACAGCAAGCTGTTGAGGGTCAATGGGGCTAACAGTCTCTTATGAAGACTGTATGTGGAAAATGCTCCTCTTTATCTTGGCCTTTGAGACCATGAAGATATTGTTTTATGTTGTGCACTTCTTTTGCTGAATTTGTTCCATTTGGAACATTTTTATGTGCTTTTATGACTGTAATGGATTTACTTGTTTTTATAACTGTATATTATCTTGCTACAACCTGCTCTGGGACCTTATGTTGAAGGGTAGGTAATAAATATTATCAATAAATAAAGGGAAAGAAGCTATTGTGAACAAAAGAATGAGCCATGAAGGATCTCCTTGGAAACCAAAACACTATCCTCAAAGCTGAGGAAGACCTCATAAACATCTAGGCAAGTGCGGGTTCTGATGCAGCAGACAGAAGGATGAGTCATCATGGAATTAAAAGGGAGATTTTTTTAAAAAGGACTTTGCCCCTCAGTCTGGCTCAGAAAGTGCTTTTGAAGCCATGTGTACACTAGAAGACAGACTGCATTAACAATTATGCTTGCCTTTGCAACCGTGTGTAGCCAATCTTTTAACTAAACTGTGGTTTGGTGCTAGTGCAACTGCAGCCTACTAAACAGAAGGATTGAGTGTTGGAGATGGGAAAATAGTGTCTCGAGAGGAAAGGTAAAATAACATGATTCCAAGAGAATTCAAGGACTCCATCCCCAAGCCACCAGTGTTGGTATAAGCTTGTGCTGGAAGCAATAATAAATCAGGAATCTTTTATGTGCATATGCCAAAATAAAGTTGTATTGGGAATTTTCAATATTTACCAGAATCAGTAGTGCAGGTATTTTTGGGACAGCCTTCTGTGTTCGGTGAAACATCTTTAGTTAAGTTCTCTTCTATTTTACCACCATGAATTCTTTGCTCATCAGAATCTCCTAAAGACTGCTCAATATGGCAGTAGGCCTGATGCAAAGCTTCAATATCACTATTCGTTTGTGCACCAGAAATACCTGAGGAGGGACAGGTGAAAAAGTCAACCAAGATGAAGTGAGCAGAAATGTCAATAAAGCAATAGCAACAATTACCTAAGATACTAACAGTAGAATCGTGTCCACTGAGAAACATGTCTTACTGAGTTCAGTGAGGCTTACTCCCTAGTAATGGATAAGGGATTGCAGCACTAGGCTACAATCCTATGCACACTTCCCCAAGAGTTCAGTAGGACCGACTTTCAAGGAAACAAGTTCAGGATTGCAGTGTTAGGCTGAAGTTCACAATAATTAAATACTGGTTGCCACCAGTGACAAAAATATAGATTACATCCTTAGCCATTAAAACTCAGTAACTAGTAAGGGGGGGGGGGAGCAAATCACTCCTAAATGTTTATTTCTCTTTCTCTTCTTCAATCCAGATTTTCAAAATTTAGGAATTGCCTGCATAATCTTTTACCTTGAGAAAATATTAAGCAATGAAGACATAGTTATAGTTATGCACTTCTAAGTCTCTTCAGTTTGAAATGCTTGATTCTTTCCTGCTGAAATCAATATGACTTCAAAGAGCTTAGCTTTGGCTGAATAAGGCTCTAAATGTTTACATGATCAAAGGGTAATTGTGAAGCAGAGAGAGCTAGAACTGACCAAGACAGACTGCTCTTGCCTTACTTCTGTTTTCAGCATGGCTAACAGATGTGGAAAGAAGTAGTCAATAATAAAGAGGGTTTACCTGTTCCATTCATTTCATCGGCAGCGGTTTCTTGAGGTAGAGGGTGTTCTGTCACAGCTGCATCCTGCTGCTCACCGATCTTTTGCATCTCCAGGGTCGAGTCTTGGGAATCGAGAAGGACAACTAAAGAGAAAACAGAGAACACTGACGTGCAACACAATTGTATCTCCCATACCAGACAATATGAGGGTTACAGACTCTAACCTTTGCTCTTCTGCCATTTCAGTACAACTTTTTAAAGTAGCCACCCCAGCAATCTCAGATGTCCCTAGCAGCTTCTAAAAAGCACATGAATAAGATATATAAGGCAGCAACCCAAACCTCTGGCTGGGAGCAACAGGGCTTGCCAGAGTGGCTTGACCGCATCCACAGCTCTGTCCCTTGTGCTAGCTCAGGCAAAATATGGGTGGGGGAGCCTCTTTGTTGTGCCACCTCCAAGACTAGGCCTGCTGCTATCCTGTGGTGGCAGCAGGGCCGGCTCAAGACCCAGCATATCCCCTCCATCCCTTCCTTATCCCTGAAACACCTCATTTTGGTGGATTTCTGAGGGCTGCTACCAATGGTAGCTTCTGCCCACCTGCTATTTGGGTGGGTGCATTGGGCTGCTGGTGGGGCTCCCCTGCCAGTGGAGGCTTGGCAGCCAGGCTGGGTGGAGGGACACCTCCGTCCACTCCCACATGGTGCACTGGGGGCTTGGATCGCTTTGCTTGATTCATAAGTGAGGCTAAGGCCATAGGCCAGAAGATGTTTCAAAAGTGGAGAAGGCATTCGTGATAAACAGGGTGGAAGGGGGAAATGGATAACGCAGTTTTTTATAGTAAACAATTCACTATAAAGGATTTTTGAAGTACAAGCTCCAACTATGGCTCTTCACTACTGGGCAATTGCTTCAAGCCCTTACCAGATTTAGCTTGTTTTCCCCAAAGCATGGAATAAATTTCATAGCTAAAGGTGCAATTAGGCACCCTTTTTTGGAAGAAAGTCACAATGAACTCGGTGGGAATTGCTTCTGTGTAAAAATGTATGCAGTTGGGTGCCACATTTCTCATACAGTGGTACCTCGCAAGACGAAAAGAATCTGTTCTGCGAGTCTCTTCGTCTTGCAGTTTATTCGTCTTGTGAAGCAAGCCCATTAGCGGCTTAACGGATTAGCGCTATTAGCGGCTTAGTGGGCTTAGCGGCTCAGCTGTTAAGCGGCTTAGCGGATCAGCTGATAAGCGGCTTAGCGATCAGCTGTTAATCGGCTTAGCGGATCAGCTGTTAAGCGGCTTAGCAGATCAGCTGATAAGCGGCTTAGCAGATCAGCTGATAAGCGGCTTAGCGGCTTGGGAAAAAGGGGGGGGGGGAGGAAAAAAACCCTGCAGGAACTCGCAAGACATTTTCGTCTTGTGAAGCAAGCCCATAGGAAATTCGTTTTGCAAAGCACCTCCAAAACGGAAAACCCTTTCGTTTAGCGGGTTTTCCGTCTTGCGAGGCATTCGTCTTGCGGGGCACCACTGTAGTAAGACAGGTCAGAAAGATAGCAGTGCAAGGAAGTTTACCTGACCATGAACTGCAATAAAATATAAATATATTGAACTTAATACAAATATATATTAATTATTTTACTGGGATTATTTGGCTTATAAAATTATTGTTAAAGCCAACTTGGCACCCTCCTGTTATTCTGGATCACTCCTGACCATTGACCATACTAGCTGGAGCTGACAGGAGCTAAGGTCCAATAAATAGTACAGGAGGCATCACGTTGCAGAAGGCTGGTTTAGATTATCCAGCATAAACACAATTTACACATCTGAACTACTTCTCAAAATGATTCTCAAAACTCAAGAACAACGCTCTATGCTGGTTTCAGTTACTAATAATTTGATTTCAGACCTTGATCATGTCCTCTCAGATAAAAATGGGGCTTAATAGCAATAAATACTGATGACTCCACTGTTACTACATTAAGGGAGATGATTTTTGTTTATTCCTCCATGCCTGTGTGTTTGTTTTATCTAACAATAAATGACTGTAAGAAAAACTCTAAGTGGCAGAACCCTATACGCCCTTAAAAGATCCTCCAGATATTGGGAAGAGCCTCTAGAATAATGGGAGAGGGAGATTGGTGAACATTTGACTTCTCCCTCCTTCTACTGGATCTCAGTCCCTTTTACATATGGAAGGAGATAGTCAGTTCTAGAGCTAAGCCTCTGATTCCAAAAGGAAGCCAATAGTAGGCATCAATTTGGAATAAAAGGAATACCATTTACTTCTACAGATATCTGCAAAGCATCTCTAAAGCAAATGTCGCCAGCACAATCGGAGCTAGCACTGAGGTCCATTTAAAAAGTATGGATAATTTCTGGCTCTTTTCACCCAAAATTGGGTACAGCAAAGCCAATCAAACATTCAAACCCTGTGCCGTATTTTTAACACGTTTCCACATCTTGTAAAATTTTTGTACCTTCAGCCAGCATGCCAGTCTTTTCTTCCTAAAAAGTTAGAGAATACATATGAATATGCATGATGTGAAATATACATATTTTTATTATCTTGAATGCTTTAGATGGTGAGCATATCACTGCTATACAACTACAGTGCTGGGACACTCATCCTGCCTTTATTAAAATTATAATAAGGCACATATGTACAAATGGATTTCCATCTCTCTTCCTATCACATCCATATCCTGCAATCCACAAACCTTTTTCTATTCTATTTTGTGACTGAGAGTGATGCCTGGGCACTGTTAATGTCTTTTTGGTAACATGCCTTTTATCTCCTAACCTTTGTCTGCATCAGTACTGCTACTGATCTAGCCCCCCCCCACCTGCTGCAGTTTTCAGTTTACATTGATCTTTGTCACATTTATTATTGTCCTTTGTTTTATTCCTGGATTGTAAAACCACCCTGAGAGTTACAAATGGGATTGAATGGCCAGATATTAAATATTACAGAGTCCACCCCTACCCTAAACAGACTGGATGCATCATCATCATCATCATCGTCATCATCATCTGCTACCCCACTACCAAAGAACCTTATGGGCCTTTAGTGTGTCTGAATAGGATTGCACTGTACAGTGGATGTCTGGTAAGTTCTTCGTTGGGTATAAGCAACACTAAAATCACAGGGCTGACTTATAAGTAATGTTCAAAACATGAAATGGTTCTGCTTTTCCAAAACGCTTACTTTAGCTTCTGTCACAAGAACTTGCTCAGCTTTATTGTCTTCATTAGATTCTGAACCTTCTTCAAAATCTTCACTATAATCACCTGGAATGTGTGTGACACAAGGCATACGGTTAATTCCTTGTAAGAAAATAGGACCAGCCATCCCCCTACATCTCTATATAGCTCTTCCTTGGATCAGATCAAACAGCCAGGAAGAGATGGATGCAAGAAACAGACTGGAACCCTTTTATTGGCAGATTTATTCATGAGTAAGCAGCTCAGCCCCCTCCTTCAGCAGACTGTGAACTGCACAAATTCAAGTATTAAACAAATGTTCTGAGGGTAGGGATAATCTCTCGACCCTCCTTCTAGCAGAAAGAACCTAGATGGCATGGAAAAACCCAATACTTAAACTCTCGCTCATTTGGAATAGAGTCCCTTCCAAAGTGCACACTGTGTTCTGCAAAAAAACCTGATATTCTGCAGTAAGCATTGAAAAATGTTCTTCAGCATCCACCAGTTCTGTAATATTTCCCACATGTACTGCTAGATCGTAAGAACAACCTTCTTTGATCAGACTGAAACTTTTATCAAGCCTGAGAGAGGCCTTCCAGGTCCTTCTGGCTAGACCTTGGAATTTTCCCCCTAGGCCACACCCCTCTCCAGGCCACACCCTGTTCTTCCCAGACCCCACCCCTCCCCTGTTCTGCTCCATCCTCTCCTTGAGTGCTTTTGCATGACTGGAGTGTATCCCTGAACTGTGATAATGCCTTCTGCTTATCTGGATTAAGAGAGGTGTGTGTGTGTGTGTGTGTGTGTGTGTGTGTGTGTGTGTGTGTAGAACTTCTGAGTCGCAGGAATGTATCCTATGGCTCAAGGGTAAGAGTCATGTATGTTGCTCCACTCACTTTTGTCTCTGGCTCCATCCATGAGGCCCCTAGAAAGTTGTTCATGAGACAATGTGGCCCTCAGCCTGAGAAAGTCCCCCCCCGATATATCTGTTTCAGCACTCTGTTACCCATGGCGGACAGCAATGTGCTTTCATTTGTCTCTGGTAACTACAGCTTTATTGGCTCTGAATATGGGCGCTCCACTTTAGGCTATCGTGACCTGACCTGCATGGATTTATTAGAATTACTCAGTTTTAAACAACATCGATCATTCACTTCATAAGTCAAATTATTATCCATAAAATTCTGTCTGTAAAGTAAATGATAATAAAACACTGAAGTACAGTTACCAGATTTTTCATGGTTCCTTGGTTCATCTTCATTGCCTTCTTCTGCCTGTTTGGCTTCAGAGTGATTTCTGCAAAATATGACAGTACTACTTCTAGAAAAAGGTCTCTCACTCAGCAGTATTATACAGAACAAATTTGTTTTCATGCTCATAGTTCAGACTGCTCTGCTGTTCTGGTAGTTAACAGCATATCATTCTAAAAATTAAAAAAAAATCTAAACTATGCAAAATAGACAACTTTGCAAGTAGTACAGAACTCTCAACACTAAGCCATGGTCTGTTTTAAACATTGGCTTAATAGCAAATGTGCCTCCCAGCCTTTCTGCTTCCATGTGCAGCACAAACAGGCTATAGTATTATTATTATTGACTTACTGCTTGTTTGAAACAAAAAAAAAAAACCATTATCTGGGTCCACGTGACACGACAAGCCACACTGTGGCTAATCTGCTGTGTGCAGAATCTACAGGGGGAGTCATAAGAGAGGGCGAGGAGTACACTCACAATTAAGTCAGGTTTTAAAACAGGGATGAGGAACCTGTGGTCCTTCAGATGTTTGTTGTACTACAACTCCCATCAACCCCAACTACTGGCCACATTGACTGGGGCAGATGGGAGTTGGAGTCCAGCAACAGCTGGAGGCCTACAGGTTAGCCACAAATTCAATCAGAATCCTGAATACAGTGAGCCATAAGATGAAGATTTAATTTGCACAGTTCAAAGCAGAGAATTGAGGTTTCATCATTAGAAAAACTGGATATTATTATGCCCTGCTTAAGAAACTATTACTGAAAATATCACAGGAATGTTTAGAGTTCTGAATATTACTAGAACTATTGATTTTTATTTTAACTTTACCGTAGAAATGCTCTTAATCCTTCAGAATCATTGGAATCCAGCTCCTTATTCAATCTAGAATAGTCTATCGTAGATGATGCTCCTTTCTCAAGATCAGCAAAGAACTTCTCCTTTTCCTCTTGTTCTTCTAAAGTATCCAATCCGGCTCCCAAAAAGATCTCATGAGGCCCTGAAGCCACAACTGAATCTAAATTTAAAAGCACCAGAATATAAATAAATACAGTAAATTAATATCAATTTTCGTAAGAAGGTCATTGCAGGGGGAAACTGTCTAGTAATGTCCAGGCACTGCCTTAAGTGAGAAATCAAGAAAATGCAAAGACAATGCCCAAAATTGCATGACTTGATCTTAAAGAAGCCTATTCTAAAAATACCAGAGTTTCATGAGCATTATACATTTATTGAGTGTTTATGAAACTGGCACTGAGTGCTCACAAAACTCTGGTGTAGTTGTGTATAACCTCATGGAAACCAATAGAGAAGATGTTCCGAGTAGGAGAGCTGCACATGTGCACCAGAGCTCCTATGGCTGGAACAGACTGAGGGACTGAAGTAATTTGTAATGAGAGCAATTCAGAGAACACTAAAGGACTGAACAGCACTATACAACAGCAATTGATTGCAGCATCTCCCAAGTTTTAGTGCCAGTGTAAAAATAAGTATCATATTTTAAGGGAGTCAGTTCATATTCAACATATCTACCTGTTTAAAAACACACAACACCACACATATAATTTAACAGTTATTTAATCAGCCAAATAAAGCTGAGCGGAGAGGGAAGTTTGAGGTCTGAAGGAGTTTTACCGTTAGTTTCCAGGCTATCTTTGCTTAAAGAAACCGAAACCCCACTAGGCTGCTGGAGCCGACTGCTTCCCGCATGATCTTCGTCTACTTCCAGGATAGCATGAGAAAGCCTTCGCGACTTCAGAAAACTACTATTTGTGCTGCGTATTCCTTAAAACAAAAGGAGGAGGGGGAAGAAAAGTCTGACATGAAAATCCATGCTGGAACACAGTTTTATTTTTGGAATTTATATAGGTTGCCCCACAACACTGATCTTTGGATGCCTTGCAAACATAAAATAGATACAATAAAAAACAAATTATAGCTTTAAAAACAACACGTCAGCAGGGATAGAGATAAAATCGGTTTCATTGTAAGGCTAAACAATGCACAACATGTAAACAGTGGTTTACAATTGTGAAAAATCACACATTTTTTCAGGCCTGAAAAAAATCAAAAAGGTGTTATCAGGCACAGAAATAATCAAAAACAAAGTGCAAGGTGAGTCTCACCAGGGAGGTGGTCACATAGCTGCAGCTCAACTACTGAAAAGTCCCCTCCCTAGTAAGCATCTCAAGATTTGGGGAGGTGCATGTGGGAGAAAGCAATCTTTATTTTGGAGGAGAAATAAAAGTGCACTGTATTACTAAGGTGTCAAAAATCCCTTCATTGGTCCGTACAGTTTACGGACTGCCTAAAAGCTTCTTGAGGGCTGCAACTGGAAGAGATAATCAATACATCCCCAAGGCCCACATGGAAGCCCATTCTGCCAGTGCACAGGGCTCTCTCGATTCCAACTATGGATTTTTGCTTTCACAACTCTATTTCACAAAGCGCAACTTCATTTTCTAGATTATTTCTAAAAATAATGGACATTCACTCACGTTAACTCCTACACCACTGGCTCCTACGTTATAGCTGATAACTAGGTTCGAAGTTCTATTAATAAATCATTGAAAGATTTTTTATAAAAAAAACCCTAGGATATTTCATAAGTTGCAAAATGAGTAACTAGATTCAAAAATAGGCCAGGAAACAGAGCCCTACTTACTTAATGAAGCCCATTCAGTGGTATATTGATTGATTAATAAAAAATATTTATATTCTGCTGTACTATAAAAAGAAAAACATCAAAGCAGTTTACATCAATAATACATAAAACATGCAATAAAAGTCATATAAAAAAGTTAAAAACAGACAACAATTTATAGCTGTAAACATTTCACATTCAGTGAAAAGGCTGTATGTGTGAATAGTTCTTTTAAATAATAATTTTAAAAATCATACTGAAAAACCAGTTTAGGCTTGTTACCCTTAGTATGGTCATGGTGGTTGTTAGCAGAGATTTCTTCTTTGTTAGAACACACACTTTTCTTTGCCTTAAGGGATTTTTCCAGTGTTTTGTACTTAGCCAGTGCCTTGCTGTGGGATGCACTTGAAAAGGGTTTAGGAGCAACTACTTTAACTACACACAAACAGTCACAAGTGTACAGGTAATGGGTTAGAGACCAAAAAAAGAAGGGTAAATTTTGTTACCAAGCTGAAATAAATGACACAATATCTAGCTATTTTCACACTGCAGCTAGAAGTGCACCACAATTAGACAACTCCTCTAAAACAACACTACACAGTTCTTTGGCTAAATTACGCTTCCTTGAAGTATACACCAAACTATCTATTTAATGCTTTACAAGAAATATTGCACGTGTTCATGGAGTCAGAATGCTCAGTGTAAAAAACAAAACTAGTTTGCTCAAGCACTGTTTGCAATGAAACTTAACAGTAAAAATGAATAAAGGATGTGATTATAATAACTGGTCTAATATTCAGATTGAATTTGTGCAATCCTAATCCCTGGCTGAGCACTGCACCATGCATCATCTCTACACATAGCTCACGATTACACAATTAATTCATACCATATTTACATACTTTTGTATGTTGCCTAAAAAAGCATGAGGTTTTTTACCCAAGTCAAAGTTGCGTTCACCAAATACTGTTGGTGATAGCACACATAATTAAAGCCAATATTTGTTTGATCAGAACTGGTATCAAACAAAGGGAAACCATTATTTCTGAGAAATAATTGATTTTGGCTTGCAATATAGCACAACTATTGCAAAGCTGATCTCTAAAAAGGGGTAACTAAATCTAGTACCAGACTGGTTATTTGAAAGTGGTGATTTGTTTTCACTATCTTCAATCATTTCGTCTTTTGCCCCAATGAGTTTCTTCTCATTTTCTTGTTTGATAAATCTGTTTGTTTTAGAAGCTTGGGAAATGAAAGAAAAACAACATGTGTAGAAAGCCAAGGAAGACATCATGTCAATTTTTTTTTGGAGAGGTTACCAAAAAGCAAACAAGCAAGTTAAGTCCGAAAAAGGATTTAATAAATGGCAGGGGCAAGCACCTTTGAGACAGCATCAATGTCTTAGCATGCCAAGTATAGAAGTCCATGACTGGAAACAGCCACCACTGGCCAATGCAACCTTGGCTGAAGACCAAAGGAATCAAAGTACACTATCTCAATCAGCTGCCGTACATTCCTGACTGCACTCTCCATGCAACACTTTTGTCCTCGGGTAACCTTGCAAATCCTTCACCAAATATGAGGCCCAAAAGAATGTGAATTCACTCCTCAGGCACTACTGCACTTGACTAGGGATAAGAGAGAAACTGATTCACAACTAAATATGAGCCTACCTAATTTGTGCTTCTGGAACCAGTATGTGACCTGGAGAGAAGCGCTCAATATGCAGAACGGTCATTTTCTTAAGACAAGATGTTTGTACAAGAACTTTGTATAAGTAAAATCAAACAGCATTCAGAGAAAATGTTTTGCATGCAGAGGCTGCAAAGCTCACCTACTTTGACACATAGGTTCCACAATGGCTTACTTGAGTAGTCTGTATTTTAAGAACAGCATCTTTAAAACTGAAAATTACTTTATCTAACACAGGAACCTCAATAATTCTATTTGTAAAAAAAGAATCATAAAAACTATGATCACAAAAGGCTTGATTGCCATCTTGTGGTCACAAGTAGTAAAAACATTACACAGAATCCAGACAGAATTCATTACCATTATCGGAATCGTCCTCGGATATCCACCACGGCACAGGATTCTTCTTCGGTTCTTTATTTGTGGCCTGCCCAACAGTGTCATGAATGCTGGATTGTTTCTTTGGCTCATTTCCAAGTGAATCATCTGAAAGGGACTGAATCAGAAGCAAGAATCACTTGTGCTGTTATGGTTTATTTTCTTGGGTCTCCATAAAATAGGACATGAGACCTGTTCAAAGTTAAGCTTTTTTAAGACCCACTGATCTCAAAGAGAGTTGAGCATATGGCAGCAATTCAATGGGCCTTAACTAATATTGATGATCAATTCCATGGTAATTTACCGGAGGATCAGAGTACTGATATTCTATGGCAAAGTGTGATATTTGTGTGGTTTCTAGCCTCTCTTCTTCTGTTTTAGCTGACAAATTAATCTCTGACTACTCCCCAGTATTTCTCATCACTGTCATTCCTGGGAAGGGAAAGAAAGACGCTTATGTACTTGTAGCAGAACCTGCAGACATATGCCAAGGACTTTCTGTACAACCATGTGCAGAACACAACAATTACCCAAATGATTGCTTGCAGACTTCTAAGATCACTTAGATGATGTGGGGAAATTTTTTACTTGTGGCACTGCACACTACAGAATATCATAGGGTGGTGACAAAAAAAATCATCATTTTCCAAGGTTTTCCCTACACTTTAGAATGTCTTTTCTTCTGCTGTATGTGACACAACATTAATTATTTGCTTCAGAAGTCTTGTAAAGATGTATCTGTTTGTGCAGGCTTTCCCTGATCCATAAGATTGAACACTGAACTACAGGTCTTCTGTTTTATCTTTTATTTATTATGAGATTGTTTCACTGCTTTTATGTTGATCTGTACTGCTTGTGAGCTGCTTACAATTTTTTTTAAAGTATCATGTAGTTTAGAAATGATTTTAATTAAATACATTTTAAAGGTGTATTTTTTAATAAAGTCTAAACACAAACCATTGTAAAGTCTAAACACAAACCATCTGAATCAACCCACAGTAATGTACATAGTATAGACTTTTTCCAGACATTTCAAGTAGTGAAACATAGCATATGAAGCAGTCCTTAAGTGGCAAAGACAAAATAACAGCATTTATTTCTACTTTTCCAAGCTATTGAACTATCCAGAGAAAACAGATTTATGTTTTTAATATAATTTTAATGCACAGCATATAAATAACAAAGTCAAAGTTAAGTTCTGTTTTTAAGGCAGAGCACAAGTTCAAATGCAACACTGAAGCCACAAAACAACTGCATTGGGAGCTACTGACAGGTGCTTGATGCAAGTTCTGTTATCACTTGCTATTTCTTTTGCGACTAACTGCATCCTCTGCTCAGCAAGTGGAACTAGGATGATGCCGATACTCCTCAGAGCATTGTAACTGAAGAAACTGAAATGTCCCCAGATGTTTCAACAGAGATCTGGAAACCTTCTATGTCTAGCCATCTTGTCAACTTCAAAAACAGTAGAGTAACAGCTGGGAAAGAAAACACTTACAGAAAAAAATGGCATTACGGGTCCCTGATATATAAATTGCATGAACATGACCATAATGAGAAAGACTGAAAAAAGAAAGGAATTATCCAGGCCTTTTTAGCTGTACCGTCCAAGCCCCGGTTTGATAGACAAAAAAACCCCCCTCTGTATGTCCGTGCAAAATCATGAACTATACAAAGCAGTTAGATAGCGGTGAGATTTGGATCTAAATAACAATGGTTCTTATTGGAAAGCCAAATGTAGCATGATAGTAGCATTGAAAAACTAGCATACAGTGTAATTAAATCAGGTTGCCTCATTAATGGCATACGCCATGAAGCATTTTACAAAAGATAAGAGTTGCATCCAACTAAGTAATAGAGTAGACACACTGAAATTAATGGACATGACTAACTTTATTTATTTCAGTGGGTCTATCGTGAGTTGGATACAACCCTGAGTGTCCACACAATGTGTGGGTTACAAGTGTGTGGTTACACTTACACACACACACACAATGTGCTTGTAGACATGCCATATAGGGCTATGCTTAATAGCAGCATGGGAGGCAGTACTAAAATACAGATAAACACATTCCTCAAGATTCCAGAGAATGTACAAAATGCAGTTGAGATATGCACAGTGTCCAAGGCCTGTTGTAGTCAACCAAGTCCTACTTAGAGCAGACCCACTAAAAATTAATGAACTTAAGTTAGTCATGTCCATTAACTTCAATAGGTTTACTCTGAGTAGGACTAGCATTGACTACTGCCCTACATATAAAAGGAGTTCAACATCATGCTGTTACAAACATTCCAACTGTGAAAACATTTCTGCTTGTCTGATGAAACAATTTCTCCTCTCCTCCTGCTGTGCACTGTTCTGGAGTTCTCTGCAGAGCTGATTTGGGGGCTGGGCAGGGAAGGGTGGGGGGAAGTTCCATTACACTAGCGGAAGTCCTTTATCAGGCTTTCACTAGCAGGACGAGTTAGTTGAATCCATTCCATTGTTCAATGCAGAGTGCAAAACACTGAACAGATTATGTGCACGTTCTCAATGAGGCCTGGTGAATGTGCAGAATGGCTGGTTGCTATGTGCATTAACTGCTGAACTTACATTACCCTAACATATATATGGCAATGGTTATGATGTGCACATTGTAGTTGCTTCTCCTCTCATTAGAAAGGAAGCAACAGGATCCCTGCTATGGCATCCAATAAAGAATGATAACCAAGAGCAAGAGTCTCACTGATGGATCATCCACTGTCACTGATCTCACAGTGACTAGCTACAGAACCTTTCATTTACAGGAAATACTTAACAGTCAAACGCACTAATAAAGAACATGATCTGTTTGTTTACACCAAGCTCTGTAGAAATTAGGAACAAGCTAAAGAGAGATGTATATTTTGCCATTTCTCATAAAAGAAAATGAAAGCTCTGTCTTCCAAAAGTTAATTCCATAAATCGGAATTCCATAAATTCCATAAATTGGAATTCATCTCCTGTAAGCCAATCATAGATGTTAATAAGTTTAGCCAAACTGCAGGTATGTCTCTGAAAGAATACAGTAAAGAAAAAAAAAGTATAACAATACCTCTTTCAAAAACTGTTCAAACTGTTCATCTAGGTCTTCTTTTGAAAACCGGTGAGCCATAATCAGCAACTGCGTTTAAACTCGCAAATCCCTGAAATTACTAAGTAGATAAGAAAAGAAAAGAAAAGAAAAGAAAAAGGCATGAACAACAAAAAGAGAATAAAGCACAAATTAAATTATTGCTGCCAAGTATTTGAATTTAATGTACAACCTTCCAATCTGCTCTTAGCATACTTGTTTGACAACCTTTAACAAACCATTCATGCTGGAGTAGATAGGCCCTTGGTCTGACCCAACAAAACTCTAATGCTCTTTAAAGTCATACTCCGAAAGTCATGTACTTCTACACTCTTATGTAAATACCAGAGTCTTAAAATGAAATCTCTTCTTACATAAGGTTCTATCCGCGGAAGGTTGTAAGCTTGCTGGAATTTTGTCATTTCTCACAAGAGAGACTGAAAGCCATGTCTTCCATGAGTTAATTCCAGATCCTCCAAGTGTCCCTATTTACCAGGATATCCCTGACTTAGAGAAGCCGTCCCAGTTTTTGATTTGATCCTGGAATGTCCCGCTTTTTCTTAGGATGTCTCTATTTTCACTGGAGAAATGGTGGAGGGTATGGAATTATCTGACCCCCCCACCGCCATCTGAAGGCAATCCTGTATAGGGAAGTTTTTTTAAAAAATGGTTAATGTTTTATTATGTTTTTATGTATGTTGGAAGCTGCCCAGAGTGGCTGGGGCAACCCAGTAAGATGTGTGTGGTATAAATAGTAAAATTATCATTATCTCTCTGCGGTAGCTTGTCTTAAAGTTTTAAGTGTCTATACTATACACTTATTGCATTTATAAATTTTAAATTTATTGTTGTACATTGTTTTAAATGTTTGTTTTCCTTCTGGGATTGTACCCCCAAGTGTGTTTTATAAGCTGGTCTCCAACCGTAATAAATTATCTATCTAGTAAAATTATCATTATGGAATGGGACGTCCCTATTTTCATTGGAGAAATGTTGGAGGGTATGTAATTCTATTAAAATGAATTCTTATCTTGTAAGTCAAAACCCGTCTTTTGTTACATTACTCTATAAAACACATTGAATGCTGATGGCTCCATATAAATAAGCAAGCAAACAAACAAAACAATTATTTCCAATAAGCCACTCACTCCATTCAACTAACACAAGAGAAATGATCCTGAGATTGAAATAGTTAGATGTACCATGTTTTGCTATGTTGTGCAACTTGGATATCTTCTTAGCTATGTTCTAGTCAAAGATCTCAAATATTTTTGTTCAGATAACTAAATATTAGAAACACTTCCCAAAATGTAAATAAAGCAATTGCCACTATGAATACAAGCAAACTTACCTCTAAAAGAAAATCCCTTCCTGAGCCAATACGGGTGAACAACAGGCCTTTAAACCTTCCTCAAGTAATTCATGATCCAGGAATATGTACTATATATAAAAAAAGTAAATGAGAAGTGTCTTGATTGGTCTCTAATAGGACATTTTAAAGCTCTCTAGATGTGTCAAGTGCTGACACAAAATATCAAAAACAAATCCCAATTTGGGAAGTTTATCGCAAAGCACATTTCCCACATCTTGCTCATTGTTCTTCTGAAACCTACATGGCAGTACAATATAAAACAGGAATGACTGCAGAGAATTCAGTTAAATAAGGTATTGTTATGTAAGCACATGGAAAAAGTCTCAGAAAACACGGTAAGAAGATTACAAATGCCACCTCTCATGACACATAATCTAATCTGCTTTTTTTAAATAAAAAAGGCACAAGAAATAATATTGTATTGCTTTACAACTACACTAAGTACAGAAAGAAAGAAAATATTTCAGTCTTTTGTAAAAACTAAAAATCCTATTCCTTCACCTGCAGTGCCTAAATTTATCTGCATTTATCATCAAATAAATTTAACAGAGTGTCTAAGGAAAGTTTACATTATAATCCTATACCTGTTTTAACTCAGCCCTTTGAGTGCAATGGTGCTTACTCCCAGGAAAGCATGCATGGGACTGCCACCTTATCCTGAGCTGCCAGCCTGAACCCACCTGTCGTACTGAACGCAATTAGCCCTAGTGAAAATCAGAGAGATCAGTTTCAACTGCGTGGCCCAACTTTACGCAGACTTGCGTATACCTATAGATGGATCTGGGCCGCTTGAGGTATGAGCGATATGGATTCGCGTTGCTTGATGAGGCAGAGGACAATTTTAAGTGCCCAGCATTTTGTTTCCAACGCTGGCAAGCGAGGGAGCGCGCTTAGAAGTAGGAAATGCGGGGGGTGGTGGGGGGGTGGGAGGGCTTTACACCTGATTCACAGGGAGACAAAGGCTCCTCGCATCTGCCACACCTGTTGACAGCTCTAACCTTTTTGCATCTGCTTATTCCCTCTTCAAGCTCCCAGCAGCGACCATGGACCTGCCCCTTCCCCGCTCCGGCAGGGCTGAGAGGCCTCGTCATAGGTGGTCCGTTTCTTTCTCACCCCCCCCCCGCCCCGCAGCCCGAGAAGGCGACGGCTGGCTTCTAAATCCCCTCGCGGGACTTCACCTGCCGAAGCGGAACTCTCCATGGGACGACGAGGGTCCGCGGAGCGACTCGGCCCTATCCGCGCCAGGCGTCAGCCGCCGTTTCCTAGGAAACGAGCGGAACTCGCCGGGCCACCGTAGAGCTACGGGCTACGCGATGGTCACGTGAGGCAGCGCAGATTGGGGAGGGAAATCTACATGAGGGGAAGGGGAAGAGAAGCCTCTCGCGGTCACGTGGTACAAGCGGTTCCTTTCCTCTCGCTGCCCGCGCGCGAATTAAAAAAACAAAAACCCGAACCCGTTTTATCTCAGCGCGTGATCCCACTTGCTGGAGGGGATAGCAAAGCGCTGCACTTTCAAATGTTTAAAACCTAAATAAATAAATACCGTTTTGCACACCCAAGTAGTAAAGCTTGATTTCTGCTGCCGTCTTTTGCTTGAGGCAGGGCGCGCTGGTGCTCAGTCGCAGCCATCATGGTAACAAATCGGAATTTCTGCATTGATTTCTATGGGCAGCTCTTCGCGGGAGAGGGGAAAAGGAAGTCGTCGCCTGAAGCCAGGAACCGGCCCTGTGTCTTAAGTCGAGCAATAATCCAGGAAAGAAACACAGCTCTTTGGAGGGGCGGGGGCTGGGGGCTGAATGGAAGCATCGCCAATGCAGTGCTTAGGGAAGCCAGGAGCCACCTAACGGAGGGAAGGAGAAAAATGCACGGGGATAACTGGGTGTGGGGCGGCGGCCGGAGATAGACATAGGTGAGCAAAAGGAAACTTCGAGAGTTTCAACTTCTTAAGACAGCTTGCTACTGGCCGTGTCGATAACATCAGCACCGTAAAAGCATTCTGCAGACATCATTGACTCTCCTTGTGTCACATTTTCTTGAGAATTCTGCTTTTGCTATCATCGAAGCGTTTAGCATTGAAGATGATCGTGCCTAGCAAAAAAGCTAGTGGCCAAGGATGTTGGAGATGCAGCTCAGCAACATCTGGAGGGCGAAAGGCTCCCCCCACGACACATACCAGGAATGCATCCCCCTCAGGCTTCCAGAGGGGGTTCAGTGAAAAACACACCGCTGCAAAGGAAGTACTGGAAGGCTAAATAAAAATAGTTGTGGTGATTGTAACATAGACAATAACCATTCACAGCCTGCTTGTGAAATGCCAGATCCAGGATTAAATTTGGGAGCAATTTTCCTTTGAACTAAGTGGGGCTTCCTTTTAAGGAAGTGTGCATGGGCTTTGGTGTAAATCTTATGATAAAATCTTATGATTAAAAAGACCTTCCAGTTTAACATCAGAGTACAGAGTTAATGCTATCTAGTGTTGGCTCAATCTTCACAAAGCTGGGAAACTAAGGACAATGCCATAACAAATGCGTCTTGTAATCAACATGCATGTTGTGCAACTCACAAACTGCTTGCTTATAATTTGCCATTCATGCACCCACACTTCATTAGATTAACATGTGGGGCAGGGTGTGGGGTGTTCAGTGGGGGGAAGGTACGGGTGGGTCTTCAGTGTGAGGTGTGTGCATGGGAAGTTTCTGTGTGGAGCGTTTCAGTGTGAGATGGCGTATGTGTGCAGCATTTCAGTGTTGAAGTCCATGAGAGAGGTTGTGTGTACATCAATAGATAAAAAACTGAATGTGTATAGATTAGAGGGGGGCCTGTCATCATGATCCTGCCCCCTGCTTGCATGTTCACTCACCTCTACACTGCTCTGCATGAAGAGAGATTTGCTTTCTAGCAACCATACTCTGAAACTGGAGGCAAACGATTAATGGAATGAAAGTAAAAGTCAGAGGAAGATACAGAGATGTTTTCCTCAAGCAGCAAAGCAGCAAGTGGGGATAGCCAGACTATCCTATGTATTCATACATGGAAGTAAGTCCTCTTATGTTCAATAGGACTTGTTCCCCAGTAGTGTTCAGGATCACAGCCCAGGCCTCTTGTGTACAGCTGCACACACTTTACAACAAGTGGGGAATCTGTGGCCCTCCAGATATTATTGAACTCCAACTCCCATCCTCCCTAATCATTGGCTGCACAGACCAGAGCTAATAGGAGTTGGAGTCCAACAACAGCAGGATGGCCATAGGTTCCCTCTTCTCTGCTTTACAATCTAAGACTCTCTATGGTGAAGCCAAGATGCTAGAGTGGTTTACCAAAACTGAAGTAATCTCAAATAAGCGTATTACATTGGCAACAGCATGAAAAAAGCAGAGTTCGCAACATTTCAGAATTGTAAAACAATGTGTTGTTTTGGAATGGATTTTCAGTGTCACTGCTCCATCTGTCTCTGCTTTGTTCAGTAGAGACTGGGCTGGTGGTCCTCTGACAAATTTGTGGCTAGGTTAACTTCAAGCCTAAGGCTACAATTGCCTAAGGCAGCAGGAGTGAAAATTCAAAACATGGGCTTTGTTGTTCAGTTCACAGTAGGCTGCACTTCCAAGTATAGAAAACAGAGGTCTTTCTATTTGCTCATCCCAATAAAGAATTATTCCAAACTTGCTATACATGCCAAAGATTCAGATATCTGTAGCTAATGTTGCAACAAAACCAGATAAATATGTGGAGAGGCTTTATTGAGAACTAATTTGACTCACCCTTTTCTTCTTATATGTGATAATTGCATGCGGCATTGAAGTCTCAGTTGTCTCCCGGTTTCCACCTCTCCTCTGTATTCTAATTTTATTTTTCTACTTTTTACATTCATTATTCTTACTGCATTTTCTATGTGCTTATGTCAATTAATGACCATTCTGTATGAGAAATGACCGTCATAATAATAAAGTTTTTTTTTAAGAAAAAAAGGAGGAAAGTACCCCAAAGCGAGATCATTCTTGGGTATTTTCTTCAGAATTTGTTAAACAATATGTTTTTTGATAGAACACTGCAGCAGTAATGTAGTGTGTGTCTTTGTGTGTGGAAACACGCACATTGTATGTTTTATTTCCAAAACAGAAATATGCTCAAGTGGTGATGAAGCTTTAAAAAAGAGAAATTGGGGGAAGCTGCTGAGCTTGCCTGAGGCATCTGATTAGATAGTATTTCAGGACTGAACTTGAAAATATGTGAAATCAGATATTATGATAATAAATCTTAGGCCATTTTCAAAGCCATGTGTTGTTTTTTCTTTAAAAAATAAAAGGTTAGAAGTTTCATACAAGATGAAAAGCAAACAAACAGCAGTGAATGGAGAATTTTCCTTAAACTGTGCTCTCTGTTTGTGGCCACTGCTGCTACTTCCTTACATGACTATGCAATAAAAATAACACACAGCATCTGCAACCAAAAATAACAAAAGGGCTTACCGCACACGTACAAGCCACATAGCACTCAGAATTACCATTAGCTTCCTGGGAGGCGTTCATTTTTGTAAAAATGAAAAATAACCTGTAAATTCAATAGTTGTTATTCGCACATCATAACACTGGCTCTCATGGCACTCCCTGGGACATGTTTGTGTGAATTGATTCTTCCCTCCTCAATATATGAAGCAAGCAATAAAAGTAGTAGACTGCTTCACCCAGAATAAGTCGTATCAGGGCCAGTGTCTGCCTGGTGTAATGTCTGCTTCTGGTTATATTTCCAAACTTGTTATTTTGAAACTATAAGGAAAGCAGCCAGAGAATAGCCATAAGCACTCGCATACAATAGTATGTGACTATGAGATGTCTGGAGTGGAGTGAGGTTCTTGAGTTCGGAAAAAAGATTTCAACATCATTTGCTCATCATTCCAGAATTACAAATGATGTGTGGCTTTGACCATTTCTGATTTCTGGAAAATTGTGACTGCATTAAAAAAAAAGTATGGGACAAAAATTAAATCTGATATTCAGATTGGAAGGCTATGAGCAAGACCACCTGTTTATATTCATTTTTGAGCAAAGCTTAGTTGTAGCTGCTAAACAATATTTATTATTATTATTAATGATTGCTTCCAAATATGCTTCAAAAAGTGTTTCAGTCTACGGGCAGTAAATTATACAATAGTCTCTCCTGTTGGAATCCAGACACCCTCATGTGCAAGTGGAAAATGCTTCCATAGGCATGTGACAGGAATGGGTGAGATCAGAGGTGGAGTTAGGGGAGCATGACCAGTTCACCTTCACTGGGCACCAAGCTGAGAGGGCATTGCAGGGGCCGCCACAACAATGACAAACAACAGAAGGCAAGGGGGTGCCACTGAAATGTTAAGCCCAAAGAATGTAACTGGTGAGATTTCCTTCTGACAGTAGCTGCCCCATACCTCATTGGGCGCCACTACCTTGTGAAACTTAAGGAATGCAAAGGGAGCTGAAGCCCTATGGCATGTGCAGAACACTTCAGATCCCAGTTCGTAAAACCCAATCCATCTATTTCAAGACAGTTTCCAGCTGATTGCACGGCTCCTGCCAACCTAGCAGTTCGGAAGCATGTCAGAGTGCAAGTAGATAAATAGGTACCGCTCCAGCAGGAAGGTAAACGGCGTTTCCGTGCACTGCTCTGGTTTGCCAGAAGCGGCTTAGTCATGCTGGCCACATGACCTAGAAGCTGTACGCCAGCTCCCTCAGCCAATAAAGCGAGATGAGCTCTGCAACCCCAGAGTTGGCCACGACTGGACCTAATGGTCGGGGGTCCCTTTACCCTTTACCTTTTACAGAAGCACGGTATAGCTTCATTTTCTCTCTCTCACACACACTGCAGAACATCAAAGGCTTGGGTTTTTGTTTTGTTTTTCACATCTCCAAGTAGGCATAGACATGTCTGTCAATTTCTGTTCTCAGTTTCTAATTTTTACAATCTTGAGTTCTCCCTATTTCTGCAGCAGTTTGTGAATTGTATGCAGCTGTGACTGAAGTACATATTTTCCCAACCATCATCCCTAATATAATGCATTTCTTAAATGTTATTTTCACTAATATATTAATTTTATGCACATCTCTCCCTAATATATGTATTTTAGTAAAAATTGGCTGGTTGAAGAACTGTATACAAAATTCAGAGAAGTTTGTTTCGGTTCTCATATTGTTTCAGAAACTGTGAATTAACTAGTTTCGCCTTTAAATGCAAAGTGAGTTGATTAGCTCCTCTCCCTGTCTCCAGGTAAGGCTGGAAGTGTATCCTGTTTGAAATGCTGGATAGCTCTGCCAGTCAGGGTAGACTGAGCTGGATGGGCCAATGATCTGATTCAGTTCAAGATCGTTTCCTATGGTCCAGTGCAACTCCCTACCATGGTCTTATCCAATATGTCAATACAGAAACTAAGCTTTGGGCCTTGTCTGTTGTAGGCAATTGTTTCTGAATTCTAAGTAGGTCGCTTCAAAATGCTGGCAGCGATTTCAGCCTTCCATTTCGGATTCTTCTTTGGTTATTTTTAGTCCTTCTGAAGCCTGGGAAATCAGAAATATAACCGCTTTGAACAGCCTAGAGAGCCAACTATAGCAGAAGCTCTGAATTTGATTAGATAAAACAACAAAGAGGTTCTGTTAGGGCAGAGGCAGGAAGAACTGAGGTGGGTGGCAATATCTGTCATAACTCAGGGGAAATGTAGCCTCAAAGCACTCAAAAGTGGGTGTAAAAATAACATAAGCAATAGACAACTTTCCCACATCTTGAGGTCACTCTTCAGCCTGAATAATAAAAAAAAAGAATT